ACACACACACACACACACACACACACACACACACACACCCTCACCCTCGGTTTCCCCTGAGGCTGCCATTGACACACACACACACACACACGCACACACACACACATATCCTCAGTTTCCCCTGAGGCTGCCGTTGACACATACACGCACACACACACACACCCTCGGTTTCCCCTGAGGCTGCCGTTGACACATACACACACACACACACACCACCCACCCACCCACCCCTTCCTGGACGTGGGTTTGGAAGAGAGTGAGAGACTTGCCACATTTTCAAGCTGCAGCGAGGAACTTGTTTTTCAAAAATAATAAAGGCCCAACACTCCTTGGATAGAGGTTGAAATAGATTTGAAAGTATAGAAGTTTGTTTCAGTTTGGGAGCAATGCAGAGGTTTTACCACCATCTTGACCCCCACGCTCAAAAAAACAAGCCACTCTCAGCTGGTGCTTTAATACTCAAGGAGCAGGAGAAAGAATGTGGGCTCTGCAGTTAGTAAGTCCTGGGTTTGAATCCTGATTACTCAACTCACTAGTTGTGAGTCCTTAGACAAGTTACCTCACCTCTCTGAGAAATGTGCTACACCTACCTCATGGTTGTAGATGGTTTTATGTAAGTTCCTCTTCATTTACTTAACAAGTATTTATTTGCTGAATGTCCTCCCCACTAGAATAGAAAAAAGGAAGGATGCTGTCTTTGCCTGAAGTAGCTTACAGTCCATTTGGAAGCTGACGTGTGAACAGATTCGTGGCTGTACAGTGTGGTGAATATTGTAAAAGGAATATGTACAAGAGGAGAGGAAGTGGAGGAGGGAACAACCTCTGCCTGGGGTTGAGGGTGTAAGGGGAGGCTTCACAGAGGACCTAGCAGTGGAGACTTGAGGGAGAAGTAAGAGGCATTCTTTTTTGTTTGGTTGGTTGTTTTTTTGTTGTTGCTGTTAAGAGGCATTCTTTTAAACATACAGAGGAAGAGTTGGGCATTCTAGGCAGAGTAGAGCCTGGGCAAAGACATGGAGGTGTGAGGAGTGACACTGAAGAACCTTGAAGTAGTGAGAATGGTTGAAGCATAGGCTCTAGGGTGGCGGCGTAATAGATGAATCTGGACTACAGATGTGCGAGGGCCAGATTTGGAAAGTCATGATGGAATGTCATGATAATACCCTCATTTTCTTGTTTAGTAATTATTTTTTTAATACCATTTGTTTTATTTAGCAATTGTGACTTTTTAAAATAATTTATTTATATCTTATTTATTTTGGGCTGCTTTGGGTCTTCATTGCTGCGCAGGCTTTCTCTAGTTGTGGTGAGCGGGGGCTACTCTTTGTTGCCGTGCACGTGCTTCTCATTGCGGTGGCTTCTCTAGTTGTGGAGCATGGGCTCTAGGTGCGCAGGCTACAGTAGTTGTGGCGCGTGGGCTCAGTAGTTGTGGCTCGCGGGCTCTAGAGTGCAGGCTCAGTAGTTGTGGTGCATGGGCTTAGTTGCTCCACGGCATGTGGGATCTTCCCGGACCAGGTATCGAACCTGTGTCCCCTGCATCAGCAGGTGGATTCTTAACCACTTCTCCAACAGGGAAGTCCCTGCATGCATTCTTTTTTTTTATTTTTTAATTAATTTATTTATTTACTTATTTATGGCTACATTGGGTCTTTTTTTTAAAATTTATTTTTATTTTTGGCTGTGTTGGATCTTCGTTGCTGCGCGCGGGCTTTCTCTAGTTGCAGTGAGCGGGGGCTACTCTTCATTGCAGTGTGCGGGCTTCCCATTGAGGTGGCTTCTCTTGTTGCAGAGCATGGGCTCTAGGCGTGCGGGCTTCAGTAGTTGTGTCTCATGGCCTCTAGAGCACAGACAGGCTCAGTAGTTGTGGCTCACGGGCTTAGTTGATCCACGGCATGTGGGATCTTCCCGGACCAAGGCTTGAACCTGTGTCCCCTTCATTGGCAGACGGATTCTTAACCACTGCGTCACCAGGGAAGCCCCCCACATGTATTCTTAACCACAACATTATAGTTGCAGTCGGCTAGAGAGAAATTGAGGTGTTAGACTAGAGCAGTCAGATTAGAGAGGAAAGGGAGAGCAGACAGGAAGAGCCTGAGATTGTGGGGACGTGGGGAAGGGAGAGATTGGAAAGCTCCTGGCATGTGTAAAGTACTGATTAAGTTTTAATTTTAAAGCACACAAAATATCAACCCACGTCTAACTTGATTTTCTCCAATTTTACTTTTGAAAAGTCAACATATTTCTAAGCTGTGACTAAACCAACCCAGACCATTTTCTCACACAGTCCACTAGACAGGGTGGTATTAGCACATTGTGTCAGAAAGCCCCAAACTGGGAGTTGGAAGACTGGAGTTATAGCACTAACTCTGCTACTGATTTTGGTGTGACTTTGGGCAGATCCTTTTCCCTTTGGAGTTACACATACACACAACTGGTCTGTGTCATATGTTGGGAGGCTGGCCTCTGCTTCTACCAGGTCTCCTGACTGCAGTGGAGGAGCTGACTCAAGGTCAGAGAGGACAGTGTACGTACTCTCAGCTTCCTTCCAGAGCTGGCCGTTTGTGATGCTGAGAGATGCCTGCGGGATAGAAGCCTGCAAAGGAGCCAGGCTCTCAGGTTTAAATTCCTCTCAGCTTTTTCAAGAAGACCAAGAAGTTGCTTCATAAAGAGCTATTTTTAGCAGCTCTAAATACCCAAAGATGTCCTCTATCCAGGATGCAGGGAAATATTTCACTCCTTCATTGGTTCTGAAAGCAATGTGGGTACTTGAAGCTTTCTTCCAAGCTCTTAGTGACTTCAGGGATCTTACTTAAGAACTGTTTGGCCCCGCAGAAGGCAGAGCCAATAGAGACTTGTTTTCAAAATCTGGAGACCAAAAGATGGGTCATATTAATGGTAATCTGACTTGAAAATGAAGGGAAAGGATAAACAGGATAACTAATATAGGTAAAAATGAAATACCTCCTCACAAAAAAAAATCTGTTTATCAGTCATTGTCATCTGTTGTCTCACTTGATTCCATAGCAGCATTGTAAAGTACAATTACTCCCATTTTGCATATGATGAACCTGGGGAAGGGGAGGGAAAAGGAATTTGAGTTTTCTGAACACCTGCCATGTTCCAGACACTATGCAAGTCTTGTCACAAATCTTAATTTTTTTTTCCATAATCTTGTGAGTTAGAGCTTCTTGCCTTCAGTTTTGCTCAGAGAGGTTAAATAACGTGTCCAAAGTTGCACAGCTAAAAAGCAGTGGAGCTCAGATTCAAAGCCAAGCTGTCTGCCCACAGTCTGTGCCCCTTGTACAGCACCACGCTCTCCCAGAGGTCTCAGGGAATTAAGTGCCTCTGCATTGGTCCTGGCCCTCTAGGACTTTAAACAGAGCTCTTCAGAGGCCAAAGATGATTGGTTTTGTCCCTGAACCTTTACCTCCTCTAGCACATAAAGCCTCTGTCATGTGTGAAGTCCCTTTGCAATGCTTGGGAGACTTGAAATTTATTCTTAGCATGGACAAGCAAAGAGCAGGAACTTGGACTTACATACTTCCAGGCAGCTTCTGGGTCAGCTGCCTGGAGGATGTCATGGCATCCAAGGACATACCCTTCCTCAATGAATGGGCTTTCCTGGATGGCAAGTCTGTCACCCTCTCCAGGGTAGAGGTACTTTGCACCCTCTGCGTTCACTGTTTCTTGCGTAGCCTGGGGGAAACTGCTTTTTTAAGACAAAGTTTGTTTTTGTAACTGCAATATGTACTACTTTGCACAGATTCTTAGTGGTAATTTCAACTAACATTTCTATCCAACAGAGTTTCAGTTCCTGCATTCAGCTTATGGTAGGAGAGCTATTTTTCCTCATCTGTATTATGGCCTATGAATGTGTTATCTCGTAACAAAAGTAGATCCCCTCTCCTTCCCTCCCCAAATCCCATCCCCTAGGCTTGGGCTCCCCCAGGTGGCTCAGCAGCAGTTCCTGAAGCATGCAGGAACATGTCTGATGGTGCAAAATCATGGGTTGGAGACACACACGAACCGTCCCCTAGGGCAGCAGTGAAGGATCATGGCACTAAAAGGCGTCTCTCCCCTTCCTCACCTCTGGGGTCCCATCTGACCTAGGTCGGAAACCTTTACCCTCACATGGCTGCTGAATTCAATCAAACAAGTGAACAAAAATTCCTGGGTCTCTATGGCTCCTCTGTTGGCTTTATGGCAGCCCCTGCGGAGGAGTACCTGGATTATGCCTGTAAGAATGCAAAACACCAGTCTGCCCCACGATCAGACTTTCCATCTCCATTGGCAGTCTCACATGTTTGAAGACCTGGTTAACTTTAGATACAATCTATTCCCTTAGCCCAGATCTTGAGCTCTGGCTCATTTGGGGGGCATTTTCCTGGATGGTGAGAGGTGAGGGTCAAGTGTGCTAATAAGCCAGGGACCAGAGCTGGATTCTCTGGGCAGTGTGGACTCCAGGCCCAAGGCACCACGGGAACTTCTGGGCACCTGTGAGGGTCCCAGCAGTGTAACTTGACTAGGTCCTTTTTTGTCATAGACAGGAAGGGACCATAGGAGGGACTTGCTGCTTTCACCACCCTCACCTGGGCTGCTCAGGACAATGTTTTCGTAAAGTCTCTGCACACTTTCTCGACTTTTAACCTTGAATTATTTGGATGTTGAAAATTGAATTTGTGTGTGGCACATCTTTTAGGAGATGAGCTGTGAAAATCTCTTCTTGCTGCTGCTGTGGGCTGCGTGATCTTGGGCAATTTGCTAATGTCTCCAGGCCATAGATAAAATGTTTTATTCCAGATGATCTCTGAGGTCCCTTTAAATGCTAACAGGTTGCCCTCTTATAATCTTATTCTTTCAGTTTTGCTAGTCACAGACCCGTTTCTCTTATTGTTTATGAGGAGTCGTGTTTGTTTGCCTCAGGATATATGAACTTGAACAGAAGACTCCATATGAAGTGAGAGAAGCTCTCCTGCCTCCTCACCTCTCCTGTTATAGCATCTGAAATAGAAATACTAAAGTGTGTGTATGGAGCTCTTCTCTTCACAAAATGTTCTGTCCCAGACCCTAAGCTGGCCCTTTGAAGATACAAAGTTCAGTAAGACAGGGTTCCTGTTTTCAAGGAGCTCAAAGTTTAGCGGGGGAGATGGACAAACTAGCAAGTACAGGGGCTTCTAAGAATCACAGGAACTGGGATAGTGAACCAAGTGGGATACATGAGGGGGCTGTGATCAAGAAGTGGGGAAAAGAAAGGACTTCATAGTAGAGGTGAGTCTTCAGCTCCTGGTTGATGGATTAATAAACGTCTACCAGGTGGTATTTGGGGAAGGACATGCCAGGAAGAGTGAGCAGTGTGAGCAAAAATACAGAGAAGTGATGCTTCTTGGCATAGCCTGGGAAGGGTGAACAGTTTGTGTGGCTGTCATGTAGGGTTTGAGAGTGAGAACAGTGAGTCTAGAGAGATCATAGGACTAGATCACGAGGGGCCTTGAGTGCCACTCAAGGAGTTAGGTAATGGAGAACCATGGAATGTTTTTAAGAAAGAAGTTTTTGTGATTAGGTTTAGGTCTTAGAAATATCACTCTGACTGAAGCTTGGAGATTGGAATTGGCAGGTTTAAAAACAAACAGAACAGTGAGGAAGCAGTTGCAATAATTCAGGTAAGAGGTGATGAGAGCTTCCATTGGAGCTGTCCACACCTGTGGGGATGGAAGAGTAGACAGACACCAGAATTAGAAACTGTAAGACTGGCTGACACTTGATCCTTGATCCTCACAATCAATACTATGAAGCAGTCAAGGAGTGGTTATTATTGCCATTTTATGAGACAACAGACCTGAAGTTTAGAAAGGTATAGTGACTTGCCCAAGGTCCCACAGCTAATAAGTGGCACAGCCCAGGCTAGAACTCAGATTTCCTGACTTACTACATTGTTCAGGATGATGGTCCCTTGCTGCCTCTCCTCCTTGTAAGTGTGCTTAACAGATTGTTCAAGTGTCAGAGGGCGTGAGGGCCCCATGTCCAGGGATGTGAACAACCCAGCACTTGGACGTGGGCCGCATGCTGTGACTGGGCCGTGGCCCTTCACTGCCATGGGTTCTCGCTCTCTCTTTTTTTAAATTGAGGAATAGTACATATATAGTACTACATAAAGTGCAAAAGTACGTAGTCTCAAACGTACACCTCAATAATATTTGACGTATATACACTTGTATTTATTCAAAATATAGACCATTTCTAGGAGTTGGTACCTTTCATGGCACCCAAGAACAGGCATACCTGTCAGAGCAGCGTCCTCTATTACCACGCCTCTAAAAGCTTCAGTTGGATTGTCTTCATCCCACAGCTGAGCTCTGAATCACTACCAGCAGCAGAATGGGTTTCTTTAGAATTGTATGTGGACGTATAGCTAACTAATGAGGAAGTCAAGTCGACAGCTGTTATTTGTTGTTTTTTGTTTTCAGCCTTCATATTTATCCAGTTATTTAGATTATTATGTATTCATATATACAGAAAAATATAGAAGATATTAGTATTTGTTTTCTTTATAATGAAACCAGAAGAAAATACCCACTTCTTCAGGAACATGTATAGGTTAGCTCACTTGCTCAGTTGGGAAACACATAATCAAAGGCACAGTCACACTTGCTTCTTTCCTGGTTAATCTGGAACATTGTTTTACTGTGTGTAATGCTGTCTTGTTCACTCTCTGGTTGGCGTGTGGCTGTGTTGCATCCCCAGCTAGACCATAAATACCTGGTGTGCGGTGACCATGACCCACGTGTGTTCCTGTCCACCGTGGCGCTCCCCTCAGTGCTGAGTGCAGTGTAGGCCTCAGTCACTCTTTGGTTAATTTTGATTTACTTACTTTAATTGTCACACAGTCCTTTAGGCTAATGTCAGACTTTTGGCTCATGATTAAAATTATGGTAAAGATGCACCACTTGGGTTAAAAACTGGACCAGAACAGGTCCTCCAAATTCTCAGCAGCCAAATTTAGGCCTCCTGCTCCCTGGTGGATTCCTGTGGGGTCTTGAGGGCCTGGGCTTGCTATATCTGACTTCTCAGAGCTACATGTTTCACTTTTTAGGGAGTTGTTTTAGGTGGCCAGGGCTTTCCAGCCACGTGAAGTGGCAGATTCTAAATCTGGAGCTATCTTAATAAGATTTTTCAACACTAATTGGGTCCTTTATTAATTCCCACCACTCCACCCATCCCTGCCCCCCAGGAAAAGAAACCCATGATAATTGTTTAAATTGACTGCCCTCCTCCTGTGTTGTCTGCAGAGTCATGTTGTAATGTCCAGCAAAGGCCCTGGATTCTGCATGGGAATTCTGCTGGATCTCCATTTTCTTCTACCAGAATTCTCCTTTTAGTGTCACTTCCCTGCCCATGATTTCCTTCTCATTTCTCAGCATCCGCTGTATGTATTGCGGGCCATTGATGCAAGCGCAGTCAGCCCAGAACAGCTGTACTTCTATCCTTGGTTCAGCAAAAACAGTAGTCTTTGACCTCTTCCTCTGACCCCAGTATTTCCATGACTGAAGGAACCAGAGGCATTTCCTGTTACCTGGACAGGCAGAGGAGTTTATGGAGATCTGTCTGGAGGTGGATTATCCTTGTCCTGATGGAATGAGAGGGTATAGGCAAACTTGCTTCTCATACCACCCTGTCTTACCTAGCCCCTTGTTAAAATGTTTCACGTATATCCAACTGTTGCCAATACTAATATACTTTAAAACACCCCATATCCATGTCTCCCAAGACCTCATCTGAGTGGAAAAGATACTGTTAAAATCATTCTTCAGCCACAAGTAGAAATTTGGGTCAAGAATATTTCTCCTCGGGAATTCCCTGGCGGTCCTGTGGTTAGGACTCCCCGCTTTCACTGCCAAGGGCCCGTGTTCAATCCCTGGTTGGGGAACTTGGATCCCAAAAGCCACGCAGTGTGGCCAAAAAAAAAAAAATTTTTTTCCCCCTCTATTGTTTGAAAATATATCAAGGGAGATACGTAAAATGTTAGGCAATCCCTCCCCCCACTCCCTTTGAAACCCTATTTCCTCTCTCCTTCCCTACAGGACACGTGAAGGTAAGTTTTTTGAGTCACTCCCCACTTCTATTCCATAGGAAACATCATCCTTCAAATTTCTCAAGCTGAGCTTTGAGTCAGCCTGGGAAGTCTCTGCAGATTTCTTTCAAACTGAGCCTCATCTCTATTTCACACCTACCCCAAATTTGACATTTGCTTTCTTAGTGGCCCAAAAGATCATCTCTAATTCATGAGGCGATATCTCAGGTGGAGCACCAGTAGCACCTCAGCAGGAGACATAAAAGGTGCAAGAGGTTTGTCTGGCCCTGGCTAGGTCTACAGGAGAAGAGGTTTGCAGGTAGTGTCCCGCTGGACAGCCTTGCCTTGTAAGCCACCAAAGCTCAGTCCCTTTAGAGGAGATGGCAGTCCAGCAAGGTTCATGTCATGTGGTTATTAGTATTTTGAGGTCGCTCTTTGAAAACAATTTGTTAAATACACCTCCAGATGAGATTTCAGGCATAAAAAGGGGTACTCAGTTGATCTGGCCCAGTACATAGTCAAAGGCTCCGAGTTGCTACACGTTAACGAGCAGGTGGCTAAGGAGTATCCCAGAGTCTTAGACTAGAATGTCAGGCAGTAGAAGGCAGTATTCATAAGCATTTTCATGGGTTTGGTAGTGGGTAGAAAATCCTGACTCCCCTACTTAGTATAAGCTTAGGTCTCCTCAGTTTCAAATCGTTCAGAAGGTCACTTCAGCACTCCTCCCAACCACTCACCCATCTCAGAAAGCTGAACCATCCTGTGTGTCTGAACAGGGCCCCTTGGGTTATATGTTTCCGTCCAGCTCAAGATCCTTGCTTTTGTGTCTGTGATTGGTGGTGCCCACTTCCTATTTCTGCCTAATGCCATTCTTGTGTCTTCCCTTAAGCAACTCTGCTGATGAAACAGGCCTGGCCACAGAACTCGTCTTCCTGTGGCACTGAAGGCACCTTCCACCTCCCAGTGGACACCGGGACCGAGAACCGAACTTACCAAGCATCCTCTGCGGCTTTCAGTAAATACAGCCTGTCTCCTCCTTTCCTTGTTCCCCTTGGTTGGGACTGATTTGGCTCTTAGGAAGAAAGGAAAGGGAACTTTTAAAACTGACATTTATAGGACACTGTTTTAAGAGGTTCTGTCTCCTACCCACCAAAAAATTGGCCCTCCTCATATAGAAACGGTCATCCTCTTTGATCACACACCCTGCTTTGAGGAGACACAAAGCAGTGAGGGAGAGAGAAGGAAGTACTCACCTGGCCAATGAGTTTGATGAGGGAAGGACTGTTACTGCATTTCAAGGGAAGGACAGAGGGCACTTTAAAGTCTTGTGGACTTTTGGACAGAGGGGGTTCCTCCAACTAGCACAGGGTTTTCAACCTCAGCACTGTGGACATGGGGAGCAGATAATTCTTGGTTGGGGGGGGCTGTCCTGTGCATATCCCCAGGGGCAAAATTGCCCCCTGCTTGAGAAACACTGCCCTCGTGGAGGCTACACTGTGAGAGCAAGGTATGTGCAGGAAGTCCTCGTGAAGGTCGGAAACCATCTGGCCTGTCAGATTGGTCACTTCACTTGAGGCTCAGTAGAGTGACTGATGGTTTCACCTTCACATCTGATTTTTAACACAAAATGGCTCCACTGGGTAAAATGAGGACGAGTGTTTAGAAATGACTGAGTGGCATTTTGACTCTGTATGAGGAAAAGCTTCGTGCCTTGTTGCAGTTGTCCGAAAGAGGAGTGGCTGGCTTTGGATGTGGTAAGTGCCAGTCTCTTAAGTTGTGCCAGCAAGGGCTGCACAGGCCCTCGGAGGGATGTTGCAGACTAGGCCCGATGGTTTGGGGTTCAGTGAAGTGTTAATCTATTAAGTAAGTAAATTAGAAGAATACATTGTATTTTAAATTTTTTTTTAAAATGTTATTTTCTCCTTAGCTATCATCGCCCCTTCAGGTCAACATCAACTTACGTTTATACAACATAACTCTCACCTTTTGCAGAATATGTTTTCATGATCACCCTCTCATTTAATCTACACTATAGTTCTATTTGGGTGGATTTTTATTCCAGTTTGAAAGCTGAGGCTCAGAAAGGTAATATGCCCAATGCCATCCAACTGGTAAGCAGCACGACTAGAAAAGTGTATCACCCAAGTTAAGTTTCTATTACTGACTTTTTTCCTTGAGATTAGTTTTACTCTTATTTAAGAGAGGGATGATAGCAGTAGGGAATTTTTCCAGGTACCTATGATATTATATATGTAAATGGGCATATACATGCATATTCTGTCTTATATCTGCACATATGGAGGTAGATGCATATAGACACACCTGCTGTAGTGTAGCAGAAAGAAGCCTGGAGTGGAAGACCAAAAGAGTTGGATTCTAGACTTGGTTCTGTGTAACCTTGGATAATTCATGTCTGTGCTTTGGACCTTGCTTTTTCCAAATGTAACATGAGTGGGTTGGACTAGGTAATCTTTAAGGTTCTCTCTAGCTATTAGGCTCCTGATTCTATCACCTTGGTGCTGTATACCCAATATCTTCCACTCTTTCAGGGGCCTCCTCTCTAGCTGCCCAGACCAGTAGTTGGCCAACTAGCCTTTGTTCACACATCTCCAGGTATGGAGTATTCATTCCCTCCAGAAGCAACCCTTTCCACAATGAGAAAGTCTGAGTATTAGAAGGCCTTGCCTTCCACTATGTTGACATCTTCCTAAAGTTCCACTGAAAAGTCCAGTAGCTATATCCCACTGTCCTCTCACAGGCTATCACAGTCCCTAGAAAGGGCCAAGATGTGCTCTCTTTCTTATAATCCATAAATAGAGGTGGGATTGACTGGTCCTCCCATGTCCCACCAGAGTTCCTCCTAGCACACAGATTTTGTGGCTTCTAATACCACAGAAAACTCAGGGCACTTTGACAAATTCAATGTAATTTCACTAACACTTGCTAAGCCTGTTTGTAGTTAGGTCTCCCTTCTACTTATTCAGCACTCTCTTGTTCAGCTGCCAACAAGGAGACTGGGGGGTCAAGGCAAGAATCATACATAGAGCTTTGTCCAGACATATAAATCTGATAGTCAATAAACTGATCAGTCTAAAAGGCATCCTTCATGTGAGGATCAATGTGTTTGAAGGTGGTAGGGGCTCTACAACTGAAAAAGATTTATGACAGTGCAGAAGGATTGAAGAGAGGGCTGAAAAAGTTTTATCTTGCTAATGTACACACTCTCTTTATTACCCTATTTGATGGAGTCTAAAATTATGGTTAGCAACCTGAGAGAAAGAACAGGGTACCATAAACAAAGCCTCTTTCATAAGTCAGGGCTGGGACTGCTAGTGATCAGATTCCTTTTTCCTCTCACAATATTGCCTTTAATGAAATGAAGACACAAAGGCCAATATACCAAATGTCCAAGATTGGACTACAGAGACGTATAATTTCAGAAATGAGCTCTGCCCAGGGCATGGTAAGCCCTGAACTCTGGGCCCAGCCCCGCACTGATTTGCTGTGCAGTTTTGGGAAAGTTGCTGCTCCCCTGGGCTCTAGGTTCTTCATCTGAATTGGAGAGGATTGAATTCAAGTCTCTAATGTCCTTAAGGTATAGCATTCCAAAGTCCTAATTCTGTAACCTTCAGACGGAGGTAGAACTCTTTTCAGGAGACCCAGGCCCTGAGTGAGTGAGTTGAATCTAAGTTCATTTGAGCAAAATCAGTGAGTTTCTATTTTGACTTGGTTTTGTTTCATTTTTGTTTGCATCAAATCCAACGGCTTTTTTTTTTTTTTAACTTAGATGCATAAAGTAATAAACCCTGAATTTTGTGATACCCAAGGTAGCCCAGGCTACAGCCCCAGGGGAATTTCCAGTGATCCTCAGGGGTATGGACAGGACCATCAGTCAGTTGTGGAATGTCCTCTGCAATGATTTTCTAATAGAAATCCCACTGAAATACTCAGAACATAGAATATCAGCACTAGAAAGGTCCTCTGATATTATCTAGTCCAGTGAAGGTATTCCTTGAGAGAAGAATTGACATGAATCACTGACAGAGCCCAGGACTGGGACCACTGTAGTCAGAGGAGGGAACATTGAGTCCTGGGTCCTCGTGAGCCTTCGCTCATTTGCTCGCGTCTCATCTGTGAAACGTTTGCATTGGTCTTGACGATCTCTAAGGTCTTTTCTAGCTCTGCAGTTCTGCTTCTCCCTTCTCAACCTGTCTGGACAAATAGGCAAGGCCTTCTTCTCCAGCATCATCTTTTCGGCCACCCAGTGTGTTTTGGCTACTGATTTGTATTTTGAGTTTGTGTGTGTCTCATTTCATAACATGAAGAAAGGATACATTTGTAGACAAGGTTATTCTTGGATGTGGAAACCAAATTCTACTGCAGTCTCTTGGAACCTTTTGATTTTCCTCAGAGGGATAATCTCAACACTTTGTAAGATGGTTGTCCTTGTGACAGAGAGGGTTAGTGCAGGCTTCCTCAGAGGATAAAACTTCAGCACACATTCTCTGGCAGCATAAAGGAAAGTCACCAGCACTGTTGGCCTGTTATCTTTAAAGAATCTTAAAATCATGGCATTTTAAACCATCAAATTTTAGAATCTTAGAATCCTGGAGTCTGTGTTCCAAGCTGGATCACACCATAAAAGTCATACTAGTTTAACCTCCTATGTACTGTCATCTTTCAGACCAGTCTCTGCTTGTATACCCCCTAGAACAGGAAGCTTACTATCTCTCTATACAGTGAAAGAGAAAAGAATAATAGCTAATCTTTATGAACTGCTTTTAATGTGTCAGGCATTCTTTTAAGGGCTTTGCACTTATTAGTTAATGTATTCATCACAGTAGCCCTATGAAGTAAGTGCTATTATTATCCCCATTTTATAGATGAGGAGACAGATGTATTCTACAGCTGTTAAGTAGGAGGGCTGGGGTTTGGACCCAGGCAGTCAGTCTGGCTCCAAACTACTTATAATCACAACCCTGTGCTGTGTAGCTTTCAGAGACAGGCATCTTAGGATTCAGGGGTGTCCTGCCCTCCTGCATGGAAGAGAGGTGCTCTCCACTCTGGCAGGACTCCCCATAACCTGTTTTATTCCTTTAAATCAGAAGTTAGCAGGCTTTTCCTGTAAAGGCCAGATAATAAATATCTTAGGCTTTTGGGGCCTTACGATATCTGCCATTAACTACCATTCTACCAGTAAAGCAGCCATAGTCAGTATGTGAATGAATGGGCATGGCTGTGTTACAGTAAAATTTGATTTACCAAAACAAGCTACAGTCACACACAAAATTGTAGTTTGCATGTTTTAAATGTGAATAGGATGAATAAAAGATCCTGTGGTAAAACAAATTTGGAAACAGTCTCCTGCATATCCCTATCTTGGAGATTCACAGTTCATCCTATCATTTTAAAACTTCTCAGTGTCATGGAATAAAACCTATTTTCTCTCTTATTTTATATTTCTCCTCCTCCTCCCCCACTTCCCCCTTCCCTCCCACCTTCTCCTTGTCCTTTTTTTTTGGTGGGGGCGGGTGGCAAAATAACACTTAGGATCCCTTGTATACTCTTGGGACACACCCATCTTGAGAATCCCCTTTGTTTTACAGACAAGTAAACTGTGTCTCCAAGGTGAGTACACCTCAAATAGTTCCTTCTAGATGTCTGCAAACCTAGACTCCCTGTCTTCCCCACAGTATCTGTTTCTCCTCCTGTGACCACATTTCATGATTAGCTGCACAATCTAGAAACTTGGAGGAACCTGCTCTAGACTTTTTCCTCAACTGACTCGTACCTCCACTTCCAGTTAGTTTCTAGTTCTTATCAGTGCTACCTTCTCATTAATGTATTTTTCCAGCCCCATTGCTACTTATTTCCCAAGCATATTTGACCACAAAATCAGTTTCTCCAGTTTCTCATGGAACAAACTATGGGTCTGCAGGTGGAAAGATAAATGACATGATTCCAGGGGAGAGGGCAGGACAGCTTTTCGGTGGTGCCTTGGGTGGTGACTAAATAACAGCTCTCATACCCTTCTGAGTAGCTCATCAGGGGCAGGGGGTCACCATGCCAAAGCTGTGGTGTGACTTGAGAGAGATTTGTGACTGTGTGGCAGCTTGCTTTAACTGGGGTTAGGGTAGAAGAGACCCAGGGTCTTCAGAAAAATGGGATTTTAGTTCAGGAAGAGATCTTCATTCTTAGCCTTCTAATTTTACAAAATAGGAAACTAAGGCCCAGAGACTTGCCAGTAGTCACAGCAGATTGGAGGAAATCCTGGCCTGAAGCCTGGACCTCTTCTCTTCCAGTAAATCACCCTTTTCACTCTGGCCCCAGTCCCTTCTTGTAAAAACAGCCCCATGTTACTGAAAGGGTCCTTGGTGAGCATCTTGTAGGAGAAAGACCTGAGGCCAAGAGAGGTTCAGTGATGTGTCAGCCAGACCAAGCCAGGACGGGGACAGGGAAGAAGCCCCAGCGGCACCCCATTGGACATCCAAAGCCAGGATCCCTTGGCACTGTCCCTTCAACTCAGAAAGAAGGTGGTGTTCCTAAAAAGACTTGCTCTTTCTGAACTCCAGGATCCCCTAGTACAGAGTAAGAGAGTGGGGGCTACTTGATGATCACTTGGGTTCCAAAGAATCATTCCATTTTGTGATTCTCTAAGAACACAGTCTTGTTCCTGAGTGATTCATGTTTCAGGTTTTTCCTGCGAACTTAGGATCTGACTCTCTTTTCCAGAAAATTCAAAGGCAGCACAATTTGTTTGAATGGCTGATTGTGAGCTTCCTGGGGCCTGACTTCTCAGCCCCTACCCAGCTTCAGTCCACCCTGCTGACCCCACATGGCCTGGGTTCCAGGTCGATGTGAACCTTTTTGATCCCTGACTTCAGTCTTTCAGACAGTGGTGGCCCTCCCCCAAACCCCAGGAGGGGAGGAAAGGCCAGCTGTGTAGAGCAAAGTTTTTCAGCATCCTAGAAGATGAGGGTCTCTGAATGGGGTTTTCAGTGGGGTTTCCACCTTAAAACTTGGCAGGGAAGAAGGGGAACATGGTGGAGGGCAGTCCAAAAAGGGAGAGAGATAAAAGGAGACAAAGAGAGAATACAGGAGAAAGCAAGACAGAAGCAGCAGCAGAGGATGCCCTGAGGTGCTGAGTATGGAGACAGAAAAGCAAGGAGAGAGAGTGCAGTATAGAGCGAGCAGGTTGAGGGTCTCCTGTCCATGCACACCTGCCTGTCTCATGGCACATGGCTCAGAGTCCCAGACTGTTTGAGCTGCAAGGGTCCCTTAAGAGATCATCTGGTCCCAGCCTCTTATTTTATAGATCAGAGCCCTGAGACAGAGAAATAAGAGATGCCACACATGCAGCCACTGAGGGAGCTGCCTCTGGGGCCCGGGCTCTCTGGGTGGAGCCCTGTTCTCTGTCTGTTCTCATCTGTGTTTCCAGCCTGGATTCAGCCCATGTTTGTCTGGGGAGTCGTTGACTGGGACCTGCTGCCTTCCAGCGATGCTGTTCTGCCAACTAACTGAAAGTCTCTCTTATTGCCTTGGTACAGGATATACTGCGGGGACACCATACAAGGTCCCACCGACCCAGAGTAATACTGCTCCGCCCCCCTACTCCCCATCACCCAACCCCTATCAGACGGCCATGTATCCCATCAGAAGTGCCTACCCCCAGCAGAATCTGTATGCCCAGGTAGGTACATGTAGAAGCCCGGGACTACTTCTTCTGCAGGTAAAGGAGCCACCAGCCTGGGTAGGGTGGAGGGGGGTGAAGAAGAGAGTTCGTGGCTCTGATGAGCTGTCGCTGTTGTGTCATTAAAACAATAACCTTGCAGTCTACACACTCCCCCAGTCTACCTCAGTCCACAGTCTGAGGCTCTTGTCATTATTTAGCAAAAACATTTGAGAAGCTCTGGATTAAGATGATCCAGGACGCCCTGTCTACTCTGCCCAAAGGTCAGCAGACCTGTGGGGCTGTGACAGCACAAAGCAGTCATGTGATCCAGGCAGTGGGAGGTCACCTCAGACCATTGTCTCCATCCTCAACCTTTTTTGCCTCCAGGAGAATAGATAGTAAGAGACACTTGGGGAAGTGCTCTGCATTTATGACATTTTTCCAGTATGTAGAATGGCAGCATTCACACCAGTATGATACTCCCACCAGTAATCCCTCATGTGTGCACATGCACAGTGCTCTGAAGTTCACCAGCCTCGTCCACAGCCCTCTTCACTCACTGATCGTGGTCCCTACCTTTGTATTTTAAGCAGTCTAAGAAGAAGCACATTGCAATAAGATAAACATAGTAGATCATCATAGCAGCCCTAGGAGCAAGGCAGGACAGGGTTCAAGCCTTATTTTTCAGACCAGAAGCTGAGCCCAGCACTGAACTGTCCACAGCCACGTAGAAGACAGAAGCAGAGCCCCAGACCTTGTGTCCCTGGGCCAGAGCTTCTCTGACCCCATCCCTTAGGGTTTGGGACAGGCTCCCCTCCTCTCCAGAAGCCTGTGTGACCTCAGCCTTTTTTCCCCCAGGGAGCCTACTACACACAGCCGGTGTATGCTGCCCAGCCCCATGTCATCCACCACACCACGGTCGTCCAGCCCAACAGCATTCCCTCTGCCATCTACCCGGCGCCTGTCGCTGCTCCCAGGACCAATGGTGTGGCCATGGGCATGGTGGCCGGCACCACCATGGCGATGTCAGCAGGTAAGGGCAACATCTGTGTTGGTGTCCATCCCCTTCCTCCAGGAACTCATGACAGTGGAGAACACAGTCATGGAATCGATTGTAGCAAAGCATGAAGAATTCTATGCCTGGGGGTTCTAGGAACACAGAGGAGGACCCTCTAACTCTGTCCACAGGGATGGGGAAGATTTCACCAAGGAGGACTTATTGAGCTAGGCCTTAAAGGGTGAACAGAGGCTAACCAGAGAGACGAAAAAGGGAAGGGCAGTCCAGGGGTAAAAAACATGGGTAAAGCACATTCACAGAATGGAAATGGTCTAAATCACTTAGAAAATAGGGGCGTGGAGTTAGAAGGGTGGCTGGAATAGTTGTCAGAGATAAAGTGGTGGAGAGTCTTGAATACCTTTAGGTAATGGGGAGATAAGCAGAGGAGAGATGGAGTTTGGTTTAATCATTCTCTCTGGCTGCAAGGTGGAGGCAGGCTTAGCCAGGGGGAAGCTCTGGTTTAGAGGAGACATGATGATGCTAGGACTCTGATAGCAGCAGGGTTCCAGAAAGGAGGGCATAGGGCAATGTTATTTAGCAGGCAGGAGCTTAAGGACCTGTCCAATAATTAATTGTGAGGCTTAGGAGAAGCAGGAGTCCAAGAGGACCCCTTCTCCATTTCTGGCTTACTCCAGAAACCCTGCCCTTCGGGAACCTTGAGAATGGGGGCAGGGAGAGATGCCAGAGGAAGAGCAGGTTTAGGGAAGTCTTTGGATGAACTGGCATTAAAAAGAAAGGCATGAGAAGAAAAGAGGGCTCTGAATAACCTTTAGAGACCCAACTTTCAAAGAATCAGCTAGGTCACCTTCTGGGGGAAGAGAGTATGAGGGGTTGAGTGGACAGGAGGTGGGAGTTGGGATTTTATTCTGCCCCCTAATGTAGGCGTTGTTGAGGCCTCTCACTCCCCAGATCAGGTGAGCAAGCTATTGAATGTCTGCTGGGTGCCAGCCTTGTTGGTTGGGTCCTGGGGACCACATACTGATAGATCAGACCAGAACCCTACCCGTAGGAACAACTAGGTTAGTGGGAACACAACGATGTGAACCAGCGATCACCACTCAGTGTGATGTTGGTGCAGTGAGGGGAGCATACAAAGAAGGGTGAAAGGAGGCCACTGAAGATGAGTGAGTGACTGTCCTGGAGCATGAGGAACGCTTCCCCTGGCAAGATGTGGAAGGGTGGGCAGCAGCTGTGTGAAAGGCTGTGGCTTCATCCTCTTCATCCCAGTGCTCTGGGACGGCCTCATCAGGTTTCCTCTTCTCTCTCTGGATGCTCAGGTACCCTGCTGACTGCACCCCAGCACACCGCGATTGGGGCACACCCTGTCTCCATGCCAGCATACAGGGCCCAAGGGACCCCTGCGTACAGCTATGTGCCCCCGCACTGGTAAAGCCTGCATCCCATCCAAGTGAGTGGGGCCCAGGGTGGGAGAGGTAGGAGGGTGACAAAACAGAATCGTTTCAAAGCCCCTGTCTTGGTCTGAAGCACAGGTGTCGGCAAGGGGCAGGTGACAGTTACCAGTTACTTTCCTGCTCCAGGTTCAGTAATATCACTCTTAATAATAGCTGTAACTTTATATATATTCTAGATACTTAACGTATGCTCTCTCATGATCATCACAGTAACTCTGTGAAATAAGGATCATTAGCTCTATTTTACAGATAAATACATAGTTCAACATCACTTAACCAGTAAAAACTGGGACTTGAACTCCAATCCTCTAGTACTAAATTCTGTGCTCTTTACCATACCGTCTTCAGGCATCTTCTACCTGTGGGCCCCATTCTTCCAATGAACTTTTACCTCAGTCAGATGTTGGCTCTGACTGGGGCCAGGCAGAAACTCTGGGCCATCCCCACCACCAGATTCCTTGCTGCCCTCTGCAGCTGCTGAGGCAGTGCCAGTGAACTGCAGGGCTCCAGGGATTCGAAAATCCTCTGCCCTACTTCCTCATCTCCCCCGCCCTCCTCCTCCAGGAGCTCTTGGCACTGGAAGGGAAACAGGCAGCTCCACTGGGAAGGCACAGAGGGCTCCATTTAGGGCTCCCAGCATGAGGGGAGGGGGTCCAGTAGCTTCCTGAAGTGGCCTCAGGGATATCACTGTCACTAACGGCCTTCCCCTTCCTCCCCCAGATCTGGAGTCACACATTGTATGCAACTACTCAAGTCTTACACAGGTGCTGGAGCAGCTCCCTAGCAGCACCACCTCTATTTGCAAGAAGAGACAACGGAAGTGCAAGGGTCACTTTATGCATCTTTAACGGTTTTGGTTTTTATTTTCGGTTTTTGTAAAAGCTGCTTTTTCTAATCTCCTGCCTCTCCCCACTGTCCCCCTTTTAGCCACTGCCCTTCCAGCTCTAGCCCTCCTCCTACCTGACCAGGCACATCCTCTCTGCTCTTCTTTTCTTCCCCAAGAATCCAGTCCCGGGAGCCTAGTCTAGCAGCAGTCAGAGAGTGGGGTCTGTTGCAGTGGTTCAGCTGAAGGCGCAATTTCCTTTGAAGAGCATGAGAGATGTGATCCTCAGGTCCAGGGTAGGAACTCAGAGCTGTTGAGCAGGCCACATCTCTGGGGGATTGTTTCTTTTTTGATTTTCCTCAAGCAGGATTAGTTTAAGACATTACCATGTCCTGACACAAATGAAATCTCTTCTGAGAACCATCGCAACAGACCAAGAACAAAACCACCTGATTAGGTAGGAGTGTTCATAGCAGCTTAATAATACCCCAGATCAGAACCTGGGAAAACCAGATTCTTTCTTTGGGAGAACTTGGGGGAGGGTGGGGGGAGGGAGGGCACTATGGAAAGGAAGAGGGAAGAGGGTCGAGAGGCGCTTGCCTGCTGGCTTTGGTTGGTAAGGTCTCTGGCCAAATTGTCTGGGCCTGGACCCTGTAACTTGCACAGTGATGTTAACTGACTTGGCACTTCCTCAGAAGGTGATTTTGACCTCAGACCTACCAAGCAGCTGCAGGGTGGTGGGATCCCAGCCTCCCAAAGCCTTGGAAGGCCAGGTGCCCTGTGTAATCCAGACCTTGGCCCCTGGGCCCTCATGGATCCACTCTGATGAGGAGCTTGCTCCTGATCAGAGTGGAAACCTATGGCATTTCTCTCCCTTCCCTTTGCCCTTCCCACTTCCAGGGCTCACCTGTCTGTCCATGGCGCTGGCAGACAGGCCAAGTTCTTGGTTACCTTGTGCCATTCATGGCCACAGTGAAGGAACCACATTCCAGACGGGTGCTGGCAGCTCTGAAGGTCAGGATAGTGAAGGAAAAGCAATAGCAATAAACACTTCATAGACTCATGGAACTGAAGGGACCTTAGCAACCATCTCATCCATTCCCCTGTTTGACAGATGAGGAAGCTGAGGCCCAGAGAAGCGGAAAGGACTTCCCTAGACCTTGCAGTAAATCAGCATTAAATGCAGCCTTCCTGCCTGGGGCATGTTGCCCATGAAAATTTACCTAGGGATGGATTGGCTTGGTTTTGTAAAAATGAAGTCAGCAGTGCCCACACCTGGTGAACTCGGGAACAGTCTCTGGGCTTTTGTTTCTGCTCTTTCCCTCCATGGATTCCAAAGGCGGGGATTGAAGACTGGGCAGAGGTGACATGGGGGCAGATGGCAGGAACAGAAATTGCAAATGAAGAAATAGCATTTGGAAATTCTGTGAAGACATCTGGAACTCTCATCCTATACCTGACTCCAGCCCTAGGGATGGCTGAAAAGGAGTCCATGCTTTTAAGACAGTAGCCCCTCATCCTGAGAGGAGAGGAGGAGGAGACATGGGCTCTCCTGGGAGAAGAGGGACGCACTGGTCTCAGCCAGGAGCCCGGTAGTCTAGCACTGTCCCCCTGCTCCCAGCACTTGGCTGGGCCAGCAGCCCCTTTGGGGATGCGGGGAGAGGAACATTTTACTGTACAGAATGGAATCATTGATAACATTTATAACTTTTAAATAACTCTCTTCATTTTAAATTCATGCATACTTGGACATAATCCCTACCCCTACCTGCCGTGTCTCCCTAAAGGAGGAGAAAATCAGGAAGCCCTTGGGCCAGAAGGACCTCAGAGGCTATCTGGCTGTTCCCAGGAGGGCAAAGCCCAGCAGCATCCTCAACCCAGAGCCAGGAGTTGAGGGCCCACCTTCTTGGCTTTCCAGGGAAATGCAGCACTGGTAAGGAGAAGCCCAGCTGTCCGAAATTAAATGGTCTGTTCTGGGGTGCTGAAGAGGTTTCATTTTAAAACAATAGGAAGTTTTCCAGTGTTAATCCATTTTTTGCAAATACCTCCTCCTACTGTCTGGTTTTCTAAGGGTGGGTGAAGGTTGTTTTAGATTATGTCATACATGTTTAGAAAATGCCAAAATAATAATAATGATTATAATAATAATAGGAATCCTTTGCATTTGTCAGGTGCCTCATAGACTTCAGAGCACTTCACAGCCTTTAATTTACTGGCCCTGAGAGCAAGGGTCAGAGTTATTACACCCATTTGACAAATGAGAAAACTGGTTCTAAAAGGAAAGGGAACTTGCCCAAAGTGAGCAGAATGCTGGTATCCTGACAAGCTTCCCTGAACCCTGCTGCCTCCAGATGGGCTAGGGTAGGACCACAGAGAGAAGGAAAAAGGGAGGAGATCTAGGAATGACCTTTTTACTTTTGTTCATTCTATACCAGTAAGTAAAAACTAACATCTAGTACCTCACAGTTCACAAAGCAGTTTCATATCCATCATCTGGTTTAACCCTGTGAAATAGATTATTTTCTCATTTGATCCATGAGGAAACGGAGACTTGGAAAAGCAAAGTGACTTGCTCATAAGTGGCAGAGCCATTTGAATCCCAGCCTGCTGCCTCTGTCCCTGCAGTCTGAATCCACACACGGCTCATGGACAGAAACATCAATGCTCAGTACCCTCTCTTAGCCCTAGTATGTAATTCAAGATCAAAGACAGGCCCCAAGGCAAAAACAAGGTGTGAAAATGCTGTGGTCTGGAAGAGCCCAGGCCCAGTGCCCCTTTTTCAGCCTGAGCCACTGGAGTCCCAGTTCAGCTGGCCTCACCCTTTTGCTTTGACAGAGATCCACAAGCCTGGCCAAGCTTGGGGAGTCATTGCAGAGGGACTGAGCCCAGGAGAACAGGGGCAGTAGTGTGCCTGTGGTAGGATGAGAGCACACCTGGTAGGATCACAGGCGTCTGTTGGGAGGTACCATGGGTGTTATCCAAAGATACTGGATGGCCCAGTGGTCAAGCTGGACAGAGGTCAGAGCTGGAAGGGCCCTGCCATTGTAGGAAGGCCAGCAAGCCAGAAAGGACAAGGGGTGTGCCTACATACATAGCAAGCTACAGCATGGCACCAGCAAAGCCCTCTCTCCACCCCACTCCACTGCCTCTCCCTAGTACCACAGGCTTGGTGGCCAGGGTCAGGGGTACAGGTGGTTCCAGTCACCAGCCAACCCTCTTGGCTTCTGCCACTTCTACCTGGCTCCTCCTCATTAGGCTGGGGTCTAGGAAGCTGGAGTCTGGAGTGCCCCCAAGTGGTTAAGAGCCTGGAATTTATTTTTCTGCCACGTTTTGGAAAAATGTATTTAATTTCTTCCCCATGAGACAGGGCAGTTGCTGCTGTTCCTCTTTCTCTCCTGGCAGTGACCCAAAAGTACGTATCCCATTCCTATATCTTGAAAAAGGACACTCGCACCTGTCCAGAGTTTTCTGTCTGTGTACAAAGTACTTCAACATTGATTGCCAAAAATCCCCATTTTGTAGATGGAAAAACTAAGTCTCAGAAGGCTTAAGAGACTTGCCAAAGGTCACACAGCTCATAAGAGAAAGAGCCAAGATTTGAACTGTTTAAATCCTCTGCTTTCTGCTGGCACCTGCTGGGTCTGGGTGGCAGGCATGCAGAAGGGATGGGCTACCTATCTGCCCCCAAACAGAGGAAGACCCCACGGAAACCTGGGGAGCTCAATCCTGCCAACTGAGCAGATTTTTATGAGGAGCCCTGGGAACCCAGAGGCATATCCAGATGGTAGCACCCAGAGGATGAGAATTTGCAAGAAAAGGCTTAACTTGAGCAAAACATTTTGGGGTCATGAGGTTTAGGACTGAAGACATGTTCAAGGGCAGCCCCAGGCACCTGTCCGTTGAAAGACCCATGTCCCTGGGAAGCCTGCGTACCCTTACTTTCTGACCCTGGAGAGCCTGCCCACTGTCCAGACCTGGCGAGTTGGCACTTCCAGGGGACCTGGTGTAGCCCTGAATGGCCAAAAGCACATCTGACTCAAGTCTCTGGGCCTGTTTTTCCCCTGGGTGAGGACCAGGATCTAGAGAGACACTGTGCAGTCCTTTCTCCTTATCCCAACTCTGACCGTTGGGCACCCAAAGTGTTCCAAGTTTGAGGTATCCCACTCCCAGAGATCTGGGAGTGCTTCTTCGGAGAGGCTGGCTTTGTTCTGAGTAGGCTTCAGAAATGAATCACATGGAGCATAAAAGTAGTGCAGATCCTCTGATCACCAAATTCTGGTGTCCTCACTGTACAGACAGGACTCTGGCTGAGTCAGGCCTGGAGCCCTGCATATCAGATCCTCAGCTCTGCTCTGTGGCCAGAGAGAGAGGGCCTAGATGGCATGGGTCTTGGAGCGCTCTTGGCCCCAGCACTGTGGTTGAAGCAGTCATTTAGATGTCACCATGGCATTTTCTCCTCAATTGCTGTTGAGTGAAAGTATGTGGAAGCTCTGCTTTTCCATGCTGTATTCCACATCACTATAGGATATGTGGTCCCCAGCTGCTTGCCAAGCTTGGGAATCCGGAGGGGGCAGGTTGGGCAGCGGAGGGGGCAGGTGAGGAGGCTCCATACTCGTGTCCAGCCCCAGGGGAATCCAGGCCAGACCTACCTCCAAAAGCAGGATCACAGCAGAGGAGACCCAGCCAGGCTAACATCTAATTCCACACCTGAGCCTCTGAGAGCTCAGCCTACTATGGGTGTGCCAGGCTGGTGGCAGGATTTGTCCTTTACCTGTCCATGTTCCCTTCTCCTAGACAACTTGTTTCTGAAATTAGGCATTACGTGGTTCTAGGGCCCGGCCTTTAAAATTCCTGACAGGCCAGTTTCAACATTCCATAACCAACCTTGCCTGAGCCAGACTTGGGTCTCACTCCCTCACTTTCTCCAATGGGTATTTTCTATCTTGCATGCTGTTGAGTCCAGCCCAGTGGCTAGGTGATTGGGGTTGGTTGTCACAGAGCCAGACAGGGAAACTAGAACTCTTGCTTCCCTGTGGCTGCATGCGTAGTCCCTGGGTATTCTTGCTGTGGCAGTGAGGCCCTGTACCCAGTCCAGCTCCTGGTAGAGGGGGTATTTTCCTTTCTGAGGAGAACAGATATAACAGCCTTGCTGATAAGTACCAGCCCATAGGACTCAAATGGGTGAAGTCATCTTTGGGCCTGACCCCAGCAAGACCAGCATCTCCAGGCTCCAGCCTTCCTCCTCATGCCTGAGAGTCAGGGAAAGAGTGGGACTGCCCAAAGACCACCTTCTTGGGTCAGCCAGATTATCTGGATCTGTGGTGGGACTCCAGCTCTTCCTTACCCAAGGGGATGTAAGGCCAGGCCTCTAGCAATGTGGAGTTGTCTGTAGTGACCTTTAAAGGCCCAAGGGCCTGTTCCCATCTCCTGACTAAAAGGTATCTTCATCCCTGTTCATGTCACACGACAGAGAAAACTTGTTCTCGTGACATGTACCATCCCTGTGAGAGAGCGTTGTATATGATTTTGTATTTTTTAATTCATTTTAACCTACAGGTTGGAATCTAATTTTTAAATTTTATTGGAACTCACATTTTAAAAAGAAAAACATTTAAAATAATAATAATAAACCTTTGACCAGTGTCTTCCAAGTAGTTTGATCAAAGAACTTATAGGTGTTTTCAAAACACAGCCTGGAGTGTAAAGATTGGAAAGCCCCATGGCCTCGCTTGTGTGTATGAAGTGTAAATCTGGTTTTGTTTTGTTGTTTTGGATTCTTTTGGGTTTTTGTTTCGTTTTGTTTTGAAGATCAGATAGTGATCACTCTGAAAGATTGAAGCCAAGAATTTGTAACTATGATATTTACTGTAAGCTGTAGAACATTCAATAACTATTAAAAAAATTTCCAAAAAAAGTCTGGGGTGACCAGACTGGTGGTTCTTGGGGGAGGGGGACACAGACACCTCCTGGGCCAGTGAGAGTCCCCTGGGTTTCTTCCCAAGTTGATCCTAAACTTGTTTTCACCAGTCAGGTAACACCTACGCTGCATCTCCGGGGAGGCCCTGGGACTCACAGTTGGGCCTGGGAAGTGGCCGTCGGCACCTGGACTAAGGTGTGTGATACCGAGTGCCCACCATGTGGCCAGCACTGTGCTTTATGCTTCGCAACTCATAATCCTCACAGCAGGATGGGAGGTGAGCCCTGTTGTTAGCCCTGTCCTTGGTAGTGGGCAGCTAAGGAGGGTTAAGTAAGTACCTCGGCCAAGGTTACAGAGCTAGTGAGGGGCGGAGTTGGAACTTACACTTGGTCTGGCTCCAAAGCCCAGGCACCAAGCCCCAAGCCCCACATTCTCCTGCCCACCCTGGAGGAGGCAATGCCTGTACTCACTCCAAGGGTAAATTGGTCAGGTGGGAAACCAAGGGAAGGGCTTAGTGTGGTTTGTAGTCCCAGAAGGACAGTTGAAGGCAGTCATATGGTCTCCATCCAAATGGTCATCAAGTGCTGTCAGTTTTATTTACATCCTAAACATCTCTCTCTTGTCCAGGCCTGGGCTCCTCTCCCTGGTTATCACAGCCACCATCCCATCCTAGGGCCTGGCCCCTGCAGTCCACGCTCTCCCAGCCTCCAGGTATTCAGCTTCCTCAAATGGAGAGAATACTTGAGGCCCAAAGAGGCTAAGTGACCTGGCTGTAACTAACACTCAGGACTCCTGACTCTCGAGCCCTTTGCACCAAACCGTACCCTGGGCCTCCATAATGCCTTCCCCAGTTTCCTCTCCTGTCCTCACCTGACATGAAACTTATTCTCCCTCCCTTGTGATGGCAGAAAGCGCTGTCGGGTGTGGTAGGGGAGGGCCTTGCTGGGCTCTCTTCCCCTGCACAGGAAGGGGATTTTTCCCAAGGACTCAGCTCCAGGTCAGTGGCAGGGCTGGGGGCCAGGAGCAGGTGGAAGGCAGAGACCGGGGCCCCAGCACCCACAATTCTGGCCCATGGAGGAGGGGTTATGGAGTGAGAGAGGGCAGTCTCAGAACTGTCCTCAGTGGTTGGCCCAGGGCCCCACTGTGTCCTCCAGCTCCCAGCCCTGCCAATAGCCTGGGCCTACCTTGCTCAAGAGCAGGATTTAGAGCCAAGAAAGCTTCCACGTGAGGGTGGGGGCCCTAAAAGCCAAGGGTATCAGACACACCCCTACCTGATCCCTCAGCAACTCATCCCACTCTTTTGGGAGCTGGCCTCAGTATCCTCCAGGGACAAGAGACTGGGGCCAGGGCTAGTCTTTCTCTTACCTTCCAGCAAGCAGGAAATTGGGGTGGTGGGAGTGGTCTGGAGGGGAGCAGTGCTTATTACCCCAGGGCCCAGCACTGAGATGGGGTAAGCGTTACCTAACCCGGGAAGCCCAGACCCAGCCTCAGCCTCCACCGTCGCTGGCATCTGTATGTGCCTCACCCCAGGCAAGAGGGCATCCAGAGACCAGGGTCCAACTTCCCCCTGGGAAAGGAGGCCAGAGAGTGGGAGGGCTCAGCCTCCCACCCCTTTCCCCCGGGGCACTGTCTCGTCCTCATCTCAATGTGTCACACAAGTCCTCGGTGAAGTGGGGTTGGTTGGCTGAGGGGACAGCCAAGTTTGAGAAGCCACACCCTGAGGTGCAGCTGAACAGCTGGTGAGTAGGGACACCAGTCGCACCACGGCGGCCCCAGGGAACATTCCCCGGGGTGCACTCGTGATGCCCACTGGTCCCCTACAACAGACACCCTGTTCTAGACTTTGGCAACCTTTGTTGCTCCGGAAAATTCCTCCTGATGTCCAGCCTGTCTCCTTCCCTCCCCTCTCCTAGAGCAGGTGATGCTTTGCCTCCTGGGTCCTCAGAGGTGCCCTCCCTTTCCTGCCCACCTGAGAAGCCCGAGAGAGAGAAGCCTGTGCCCTAAAAGAGGTGAGAGAAAGGGAGAGGTCGAATCTCAAAGCTCAGCCTCCCCTCAGGCGGGGATTTTTCTCTGAACCTGCTAGGCCGGCCCCTTGTCATGGCTTCTGCCCTATGTGAAGCCTGGGCCTCCCGCAGGGTGTCCCTTTCCATACCTCCCCAGGTTCCATGAACCGTCACTTTTTGGTTCTTCAGCCTCTCCTTGGGCCTCGTTCCCATTAGTGTTGAAATATGTCCTTTTCTTCCTTTTTTTTTTTCTTTTCTTTTTTGGCCACACCACTCAGCACGCGGGGATCCTTAGTTCCTCGACCAGGGATTGAACCCGCTCCCCCTGCAGTGGATGTGCGGAGTCTTAACCACTGGACTGCCAGGGAAGACCCTCTGTCTTTTAAAACCATACCAAACACCAAAAGAACCTGGAATTAACTAAAAACCCTCTCTCCCCAGAGCCTGAGGGCCTACCAGCTATTACCTGGCACAGTCAGGCTTCTGCAGAAAGCTCAGCCCACTGGGACCTGGCTCTGGTCTCGCCACATCCCTGTGTCGGCTAGCCAGGGGATGCTAGTCCTGACCTTGCAGCAGCGCCTGGCTTTGTGACCCACCCTGCTCCCCACACTCTCGTCCTTCCCTGGCTTCCAGGACGCTGCACTCTCCTGCTTGCTTTCCTTCCCACCTTTCTGGGCCTTCCCTGAGCTCTCTCCCTGGAACGTGCTCCCTCCCAGTCCAGTCCTGGTGCAAATCCCCATCTGAGTGCTTCCAGGTATCATCATAGGCCAGGTCTGTCCCTCGAGCGCCGCGGGCCTGCACGTGCAGGTGCCTCAGGACATCCCGTGGGTCTGCATCACTGCTCCCCACCCAGCTGGCCCGAATCCCGTGAGCCACATCCCAGCACCAAGGCCTAGCAGTTCCGTCCTCTGTCCCAGGAGTCTTTCCATCGCCCCCGCAAACCCCTGCTCCTCCGTCTCTTGTCTGGATGGCTGCAACAGCCTCCTGTGGGTCCCTGCTCCCACAGCTCCTGCACCCTCCACAGTGGTCAGGAATGAGCTGGCTAGTCATACTTTTTAGCCTTCCTGAATGCTCTAGAGGCTCCTTGGGCATCCCTGGCATAGGGCCAGTGGCTTCCAAGAGCCCATGTGGCTGCCTTCTGCTGCCACCCCCAGCCCAGCCTTCACACCTGAGTCACTCTGTACTTGAAGCTTCTCCGGCTCCTCCTATTTTCATTGCCGTCCGGCCTTTGTACATGCTGTTCCCCCTCTGTGGAACACAGCTCCCCTTCCCACATTCTCCAGCCCTCAATATGCCTTACTTACCCCATCCATTTGCCAGGCTCCACTTCCTCTAGAGCTGTGCTGTCCAGTACAGGAGCCACTAGCCACATGAGGTTATCAAGCCCTTGAAATATGCTACTTCATATTAAGACGTGCTTTAAGTGTATTTTACATACCACATTTCAAAGCAAAAAAATGGTTAATTCATAATTTTTATACTGATTTCATATTAAAATGAAAGTATTTTAGATATACTGGTTTAAGTAAAATACATTGTTGATATCATTTAAAATAAGTTCACTTGGTTCTTTTTACTTTTTAAAATGTGGCTATTAGAAAAATTTTAATTACATACGTGGCGCACACTCTATTTCCGTTGGACAGCACTGCTTCTAGGGCCTTCAGTGAGAACCAGGTGACCTGAGAGGCCACCTCCGGCCCCACTTCAGCTGCTGCCTGGTGTCCACCTGCCAAACAGCAGGCGCTGCCAGGGGAGGGGTGGCCTGTCCCACACACGGAGCCCAACACACAACTATTCACTGAATGGGCAGACCTGAGAAGAGACACAGGGAAAAAGAAGCGCCTCATGACACTACTTTCCCACCTTTTATTATTCAATAAATGGATGGGTGTGGAGACACAAGGGTGGGACAACAGCAAAGTTTCAATAAATAAGAGAAACAGTGACAGCAGTGGGCCCATGCCTGCACAGCCCCACATAAATAACGAGGTTGCTGAGCCAGAGTGGAGACGCGGGCTAGGCAGTCGCCCGCACTGCCCAGGCCAGGGGACGGACACACCAATACCACAGGGACACAGAAACCACCGAGGCCAGAGGCCTCACCCCTTACCCTCCAAAGCGCCTGAGATCTTGTGGGTGGCTGGGCAGGTTGGGGCTCTGTACCACAGCCCCGCCCAGGTCAAGTCTGTTTTTTCAATTTCAATAAAAACAGCAGGGTCAGGGGCAGGCACGTGCATTATGCCCCTTCTGTAGGCAGAGCCATGAATGGGCAGCCCCTTGGGAGCCTTGAAGGTGGTGGCCCTGAAGCAGCAAAAAACGGGGCCAGATAAAACTAGTGGGAGGGGTGGCAAGGGGTCAAGTTCTCCATCTACATGACCCAGCCCAGAGCCTGCAAGATGCAGGAAGGCCCTGGGCACCGAGGCGCCACTCTCTCCCCGCTTCACAGTCAGAAGAATTGGGACCCAGTAATGGCCAGGGGCTTGCCCAGGATTAGAACCCAGGAACCCAGTTCCTAGCTCATGGCTTTTTGTTGACCCCTCCCTTTGCAGGACCTGTCAGGAAGGAGGGGGAGGTCCCCTCTACAGAGGTAAGGGGTGGCTCATCACTAAGGCATGGGGCCAGGGGTGCCAGGTAGAGGGCCCCTCCCCACCACTGAGGCCTAGCCACCTGGCGGTGCAGAGGACCCTGTGGGCTCCTAGGATCCAGCCAGGGCAGGGCACGGCATCAGGGACATCCTGCAGGGAAGGAAATGGGCGGCAGGGATGGGAGGGGCTCTCAACCTGCTCCTGCACACAGCACCCGCCGGCACGCTGGCCTGCCTCCTCACTGGGGTGGACGCTCCCACCTCCAGGCCTTGGCCTTGGCTGTTCTGTCTGCTGGGCCATTCTGGATCCTCACTGGCTCAGCTGCAGCTCTACCTCCTCCAGGAAGCCTTCGGAGCCTCCCAGGGCAAGGCTGCAGTATCCTCAGACGAGACAGCCCCTCAGATGACCAGGTTGCTCTCACTCAGCCGGACCACATAGCGGTTCTCCTGGGGGACAGGGGTGAGGGGTCAGAGCTGTCAGGGGGCTTCTGGACTCCAAGGAGTATCACAGCAAACAGCTGGCGCAGACCAGCCACAGGCCTCTGCCCAGGTGAGTGGGCAGGTGGACAAGGAGGGCCCAGGAGACCCCAGGAGGTAGTGAAGGGGAAGCGGGGTGACAGGAGGGGCAACATACCAAGTGGTGAGTCCCCAGGAGGCAGTAGCCCTCTGTACCTCCACCCCTGCCCCATCTGCAGTCGGGGTTGGCACAGGTGCCAACAGACACCTTTCCCCTCTGATCCTTACCTCAGCCTTGTTCTCTGCTGGGGACTTCAGCCATTTAGGGTGGCTTCCACCACTTCCCAGCAGTGTCCGCTGCTCACTGGAGAGGCCACGTCGTGGGGAGTCAGGGAGATCACCCCCTGAGGGCCCGGCCTCCGTGATGGTCTTCACCTCTGAGGCCACTGAACTCATCCGCTGCTCAGGAATTCGGGCCACACGGAACCTGTGGGGAGAGGTAGTGCGATCATCCTCCATTAGAGGAAGGACCCCAGGTGTGGAGGGCACAGCACCCACCAGGGTCACACAGCAAGTTCATGGGTCAGAGCCTGAGCCCTCCCCACGTCTTCCCACCCACTGACAAGCTCCCAACACCTCCCGACACTAGGCTGCAGGTGGACAGGCTCTTAGCCTGAGGTGGCGCAGGTGTGATGGGGGCTATGACCCTGCCCTGGGGGCCCAGGGACTCCATGTGAGAGAGCGTAGCTGGGAAGACCTGGCTTTTCCCTGGCCGCCCCCACTGCAAAGAGGCCCACTGAGGCCAGGAAGGGTGAGGCCACCACTGAACCCACTGTTCATGGATCAGGCTAGGGCCCTGCCACCCCCAGAGCTGTCATGTCATGTTGTGGCACCCTGCTGTGTCTATGCCCTCCTCACCTGCCCACAGACAAGATGGTGATCTCGCCCTGGCGTCCTGCCTTGGCCCCGACCTTGGGCACCCTGGCCGGGTTGGGCAGGAGTCTGGGAGTAGGAGTGGTGGCAGCTGCAGCCTCGGGGGACAGCAGCACCTCGGGCCACTTCTGGCTACAACGGGAGCAGCAGGGGCCAGAGAGGGAGGCCAGGCCCTGCACAGTGTGGAGGTGGTGGCGATGCGGGCAGACGTGTGGCATGCTGGGTGGGCCCAGCGGCAGCCTGTGGAAGACACAGGTGGGAGCGGTCACTGGGGCAGGGCTGGGGCAGGGCAGGCCCAGGAGACCCCAGGAGGTAGGTGAAGGGGAAGCGGGGTGACAGGAGGGGCAACACACCCAAGTGGTGAGTCCCCAGGAGGCAGGCTGATTACCTGTGGTTTGGGTGCCTCCTTGCCCACTTGCCCACTTACCTGGGTAGAGGCCTGTGGCTGGTCTGCACCAGCTGTTTGCTGTGATACTCCTTCAGTAGCTCCTCCAGGGCCGCCACATTCTCTGTGGGCAGCTGTAGTCAGAACCCGGCTCTGGGCCGTGAGGGGCACTCCCCCCAACCTCCTGCCCCAGCACAAATCCTCCTACCTACCCGCCACCCCCTCCCTGGCCCAGGCTGTGTGCCTTTTCCTCCACCTCTCACCAGGCAAGAGCAGGCAGAGAGGCGGGAGCACCATGAGCCACAGTGGTCAGAGAGGGGGCACACTGGCCTGAGGTATCCCGGTGGGAGGGGCAGAGCAGAGCTCTGGGAGGGATGGGGTCAGACCTCCCCCCTCACCTTTCTTCTCTGTGATCAGGCGCACCAGGACCCCAATGGTGTCCTCATTGGCGTCATCAGTATGGTAGGCAGGGTTGACCCCTGGGGAAGAACAGAGAACCATGATCCTAGGGAAGGAGGCAGTGGGACACCCTGGGCTCACAGGCTACACCAGGACATGGCAGCAGAGGGCGCCCCTGGCCTGGCTGTATGCGTACCTAAGGGCCTCAGCTCTGATTCTGAGCCCATTATCACCTTCACTACTTACTCAGCATCACTGCTCCCTGCACCCAGCAGCACCAGGGGCTTAGCGATTTCAGGGCCATCAGAACTCCACCGTCCCTGCAGATGTGTGGGATGAGGGAACCAGCCTCTCCCAGGGCCTGCCCTCTCCTCTCTTTAGCCTCAGGGAGCTGTGGGCTGCCTCTCTGCCCATGACCTCCGACAGCCCCAGCAAACTCTGCCATCCCAGGCCTATCACCTCCCTGCACACCGCCCTGTCAGTATAACTAACTGAGGACCCGAACCTCAAGAGCATGAGAATGGGCCATGCAATCATTCCTGGGCCAGCAGCAAACAGAACTCCTAGGACTTGCACCCAGGCAGCAGCCAACAGTTAAAGGGAGTCCTAGGCCAGGAAAACAAGTGCAGTTCCAGGCAAAATGGCCTGAGTTGCCACTTTCCTGCCTGCCTAAAGCGCCTGTCCCCCTCCTGACCCCTGCAGACCGCAGTGTCGGAGGTTGAAAAGGGCGCTGGCATGGCAGGCGCCATTCTATCTTGACTTGGCCCCCAATTTCTGTGAGCAGTGCATGTGGGATGTGCATGTGGGATCCCGGCCCTACTAGCCCTCAGGGGACAGCGCAGAGGGGTAAGGGGAAGAAGAAAAGGGACCCAGGGCCCTGGGGTAGGGGCAGGAGGAACATGTCTCTCCCTCTGGGTCCAGGGCTCGTAACTCAAACCACAGCCTGGAGCTGAAACCTGAGCCTCGCATGGTCCCTGTCCAAGACAGCTGCCCTGCCAGCCCTTCAGGCCAGAGGTCGGAGGTCACCCTGAGTACCCAGAAAGCAGTCCAACCCTTGAACCACACACACAACTGCAGTCCCTGAGGAGTCCAGGCCCTTACAGCTGGGTAGGGCCTCACACAGGGAGGGAATCCCACTGAAGCCACTTGACCTCTGCTCTGCCTCTGCTCTGCCCCAGTTGCCACGTCGGGCCGCCTCACCCTTCCTTCTACTTTGCCAGTCCGCAGTGTCTCCTCTGCGGCCCACGTGCGGCACCTCCGGGAAACTCTCCTGATTAGCCCTCTGCAGGCCTCTCCATGTCAGACCCTCCAGACCAAGTAGGTTCTCAGCCGCACCCTCTGGCCTCCCCACCCAGCCCCAGGCTGGGCCTCACCGCTGCCTCCGCCTCCAGGACCAGGCCCGACCTCCTTGTGGGCCGTGCAGTGGTAGCCCTTCCGCTTGAGCAGGTTACACACCAGGATGCCTAGCAGCCCCATGAGGCAGAAGATGGGCACAATGGCAATAACCGCGTACTGGGCAGCTGTCTCCTCGGGGCTGCCCGCCCGCGTGCTGTTCCCAGGCTGCCGCGTCTCCCCTGCGCCGCTCGCCCTTGCTGCCACCTCCATGCCACGTCGGGCCCGTCGCCCCCGCTCTGAGCACCACGGAGGATGGAGGCATGGAGGAAAGACAGAGGCAGAGAGAAACACACTCAGAGAGGCCCAGGGCCCGGGTTACTGTGGGCAGGGGTCGGGGCGGTGGGTGGTACTGGCATGTCCAGAGCACCCACTCTCCACTATGGTGGGGAAGTAAAGAGCAACTCACACCCTCCTTTTTGGCCATCTGACCAGTCAGCCAGCCTGAGCAAGGCCTCCTCAGCCCTCAGGACGGCCAGACCCTGAGGCCCCTGTCCACCCCTCATGATGGGTCACAGGGGTGAACAAAAGGCAACGGTGCACACGCCTGGGCACAGCAACACCGGATCCTGCCTCCCCACAGCCTGACCCATGAGTTAGTTGCCTCAGAAGGTGACCAACTCAACAGGTGAGAGGAGGTGCACGTATGTAAGCGTATGTGCTCACACTCAGCTACGTGGGTTATTTCGAGGGGATAAGGACAGGAGACTGGTTGGGATGTGAAACCCAAGCTGTGGCAGCCACCTGCTGGACAGTCTCTGCCACTCAAAGACGGGGTGAGAAGACACAGCCAGTGGACCTGCTAGACACCCTGTGGCTGCACACCCTCCCCTGGGCTAGGGGAGTGAGGACCCCACTGCCCCAGACGGACACTGCGGGGCCCTTGGGCTCAAGCTCGCCAGACCCCTCCCCACACATACCCCGCCAGTCCTAGCCATCACCTGCCACTCACCGTAACAGCCGCGAGTACCCAGGGGTGTCCAGGAGCACGGCCGACAGGGAACATGGGGGACCTCTGACGGGGCAAACCACCTGCAGGGAGGGAAGATGTTACTGAAGCCCAAAAACTATCCTTAAGAGAGGCTGTACCTTCCTACTGGGCACCCTCACTGGTCCTGACCCACCCCATTTCACAGATGGGAAGACTGTGGCCCACTCAAGAGGTGAGTGAGGCTGGGACCCCAGGATCTCAAGTCCTGGTCACCTGGTCATGAACACCCACACCCCACCCCATGGCTCACCCAGGCTGGCAGTTTCCACATAGTGTGTCTCGAGTTGCCGTGCCCACCTGGGCCTCCAGCCTCCCTTGAGGGCTGCAGCGCGAGTGCGGCTGGCAAGGGCTAGAGCCCCAGGAAGCTGAGAAGGTGCCTGGGGGGCAGGACCTGCATAATGTGCCCCGCCCTGGTTCCTGCAGGAGGGGAAGAGTGAGAACAAAGCCAGGAGCCAGGCCTGAGGTCCCTGCCCCTGGCCCTCAACAGTCTTCCCAGGAGAGGTGGATGGGCAGGGCGAGCTCACCAGGTTGGGCTCCTCGCCGGGTGGGCACGGCCAAGGGGTTGTTGATGTTGCAGTGGCCAGAGGCCAGGGCAACAGCTGGAAGAAAAGAGGGCAGGACACACTGAGGGAGCGGAAAGCACCGGGACATGGCATCTCTGGGGCCACCTACCCCCCACCCACTTACAGTCACCCCAAGCACAAGGACCACCAATATACAGGGCCACCCCCAGGCTTTGGGGACACTCTCTAACCTCAGTCCCTTGTGCTACAAGTAAAATCTGCCTGTCCCAGACCGGCTGCATTGCCATTGCCTAGGCAAGGGGAGAACCACATCTGCTTCTGGAAAGTGCTGAAACACCTCAGACAGGGCCAGATCAGGATCTTGAGCCCCTGGGTCTGTGAGTCACGCCCTTGTAGCTAACCAGGCTGATGAGGAGGAAATTCCTCCGAATTCCTCTCTCAGGTTCCGCCCCCCTTCCTGCTGCCTTGGTCCACACACCACAGCTGAAAATGTCATTAACCAGCCTCCGTTCATCATCCCTGGGGCCGAGACTGCAGATGGGGCCTCGGGGCCTCGGCTGAGTCTCTGGGACCACATCCTCCTCCGTGACCTTCCCACAACACAAGGCCAGCCCGTTCACACCCTGGGACCCACACAGAGCATGACAGGCCCCAAAGGAAGGATCTTCTCCATTCATGTCCTCCCCCTATTCCTCTCGGAGCTCCCTCTCTTCCCTCTCACAGTTAGTGTGAACTATCTGCCCCGAATCCTGCCCGCAGGGGAGATCCCCCCAGTCCTCCAGTTGGGCCCCAGTTTGGGGCAGGCACAGCGTATAGCCAGCTACCCTGAAGGGCAGAGGGAATGTCACACGGGAGGTGCCAGAGACCTCCTCAGGCCCTAGACGCGGCTCCAGCACGTGCCAAACACTGGGAGGCCGACGGCACCAGGAGCACGTGGGGCAGGAGGCGCTTCCTAGGGTCAGACTGCCTCGATTCTTCAAAAGAGCCATGTAACCAGCCCCAGTACCCGCCGCAGCACGAGGTTCCTGAGCGCAGGGCTCAGGACTCACCTTCCCCACGGTCCCATCCCCAACTCACCACCAGGAGGCAGGATAGGGGCCAGTGCGGTGGGCTCAGCTTCATCCTCAAGCCCCAGTGGGTCGCCAGCCTCAGGCAGATGGAGGGGAGGCTCAGACGGGGATGGGACAGGCAGGCAGGCAGGCAGCTGCAGTCCTCCTTCCAGGACGGGGCTGGACGGGAACATCGAGAGGTGTCACCGGGCAGGCAGAATGCTGGGGCGGCTTGGCCTACGCTCACCGGCCCTGCCCTCTGGTCCACTGCAGGCCCTAGCAGAGGTGGGGGCACCCTATCTGGGGCCAGCCTCCCAGGGCAGCTTCCCAGTGGAGGAAGGGCTTCCTGCCTCTTCCATAAACAGCCAGCTGCCCTAGGCCCTGGCAGGGGAGCAGGGGAGGAAGGAAGCCTACAGCCTACAGCCTCAGCCCCGGGAGGTGGGAGGAACGAGAGCGCTGACAGCGACCCCACGCCCGGCCTCCCCGCTTGCATCCCCAGCTCTCAGGCTCCTGCCTCTCAGAACTCCTTGGGGCGCACAAGCATGCCCGCCTCTCCTACTTCTCTGCCTTCACTCTTGCTGTTTCTGCTCCAAGAAAGGCCTTTTCTGTCACATTTCAAAGCCCAGCACAAAGGCCTCTTGTTATGGAAGCCTCTCTAGACTTCCATTTCCCCAAAGCTCCCCCACCCCAACCCCATCACTGTGCTGGTCCTCCCACGGGTCCCACGGTCCCGCCTGGCAGACTTCTCCAGAGATCTGGGATGTGTCTGACTGCATCTCTTGAGCCGCGGGCAGATCTGCAGGGGTGGGGAGTGGCAGCCAGCATTCAAGCCTTCTGTCTTCTCTTGGGCACCTGCTGTGTGCTGGGCACTGCCCTCAGCACGGGAAAAGGTATGAACAAGACAGGCGCTGTCCCTGTCCTCAGGGAACTCACACCCCAGGGGAGACCAACGACCAACAGATAAACAGTGAGCGTCCCCGTGCCAGAGCGAGGGAAGTGCCAAGAAACCAAATAAGGCATGTGAGGGCACAGAGGGTGATAGGCACAGGCCTGAGGCTGAGCCCCCAGGCTCAAGGGTGTGGCCTCCTCTGTAGAAAAGTCTCCAGCAGAGGACGAGGTTGGAAGAGCAGGAAGAAGAATTTGGATTGCACAAAAGGGATAGTGGCAGAATAAGGGAGTTCAATGACCTCTTTCCAGGAGGCCTGTCTCCAGGCTCAGGAGGGTGAAGGAGGAGTGTACGTGGAGGGCCTCAGGCACAGGCCACAGGCAGCCTCTGACCCCCAAGGGGCAGCCTCGAGCAGCCAAGCCCAGCATGTTGAGGGGGCCCTGCCTGGAACCCCGGGGCTGTCTGATGCCCAGCCTGGCAGGAGAAGCACTGCCTGCATTAAACCCCAGGTCACGGAAGAGCCGAGAGCCCCTTGGCCTACAGGCGGCCCGGACTTCCCACCAGGAAAAGGAGCCGGAGGAAACTGATCCGGCTGCGCTGTGGGCCTGGCCTGGCACAGACCTTGGCGGGCCAGGGGTTTGAATTACACCCAGGGGAGGGGCTGGGGCAGTGGTCACACTATCCTCGGGACTCTCCAGGTCACTGGCAGTGGCTCTCGGCCCAAGGCCAGCTCAGGGGAAAACCTGGGACAGAAGGTCCAGCCACAGAGTAGAGTGAAGGCTGCACCCTGGCAGTCAGCACCCAACAGGTGGCATCCTCTGGCCCATCCTCCACCGGTCCCTCCTCCAACATGGTCACAAGTGTCCCCCTGCCCAGGCCCAGTTCCTACTCAAGCCCATCTCTCCATGGCCCCCTCCTTGGTTTTTCATGGGAGCTCACCCACAGACTTGACCACGAGCCCCAAGACCTCAGGCTGGCCCCGTGGCCCTGTCCAGCCCCCAGACCCAGCACCCGTCCATATCCCCAGGGTGGGCCAGAGAGCTGGGGCAGGGGTGGAAAGTAAGAGACCCAACGTCCACCGAGGAGAGACTCCCCCCTAGTCCCACCCCTGGCCGTGACTGGCACCTGCTGGGTGACCTGAGCTCACAGGGAGGGGCTGTGCAGCTGCCCACCTCCAGACAGACGGGGAGCTATGGTCTCAAGACTTCGAGGAGGAAAGTGGGGTCCAAAGGCCCAGACTCAAAGCCAGCGAGGGCCCACTCAGGCACAGACGCTCGCGGCCTAGCGCCCTGACGCCTTCTAATTATGTGCCTTCTAATTACCCCAAACCAGCACTTACTCCAGTCTGGCTGCCCGAGTCTCTGCTTACAGCAGCTCCCCCTGCCCCCACAATCAGCCTGAGCCCCCAGAGGACCTGCTCAGTCAGGCAGCCGCTGGCCTCCACCCAGAACCCCCTGCACGCACGTGGACCCCTGCTGCTCTGACTCCCCTCTACGCCTTCTCCCCACCCAGCCTCCAGCACCTATGCTCTGAGCCCTGGAGCCCTGACTGAACAGCAAGTTCAGATCAAGCCCCTTGGCTGGGGGAGGGGAGACTGAGAAGGCTCCATCCCCAGCCCTCTGCCTTCCAGGAGGCAGGGCAATCAGTGACCTTCCAAAGCCCTGCACCTTGGGGCACCTCCTGAGGGCTTCCTGGGGGAGGGCTGTCAAAGATGGGCAGTGGTGGTGGTCTTCTCCGGCCTCAGGGCTCCTGGCAGAGGAGAACCACCCTTCAAGGCCCCAGGGGCAGAGAAGGAAGTTAGCTTAGAGGCCACTCCTTCCTGAAATCTCAGCCTGGGGCCTGTTCCCACTGTCACCAGCTCCCTGGGGGACCAGAGCCCCTGCTTCACCTTGCTGGGTCTCAGTTTCCTCACCTGCAAGATGGGGATGTTTATGTCCCAGAGCAAGGCTGTCATGAGGTTTAAATGAGGTAACGAGCCTGATGTAGGTCATGTGACTTCCTCCCTGTCACCCCTTCTTTCTCTCAGCACCTCCCACCAAGGCTTATAACCGTTTGCTTACTTGTTTATTGCTTGCCCCCGCCCCCCTCCACCAGACAGCAGCGAGGGCAGGGATGTCTGTCTCACTCCCCACAAAACCCTGCCCCAGTGTCTGGAGCAGGAGGCCTCCAGAAAACAGGTTCACGGGGGCGTGGGGCAGGGGGAGGGGCTCCTCACACTCAGCCCATCCCCACCCTCCAAAAAAATGCCCAAACCATTAGAACCAGAAATTCCCTGGAAGAAAGCCAACTAGCAAAGCTGAGACCAGGGCCCCAAGCAGGAGATGCCAGAGCCCCAGGGAGGCGCAGCCCCAGAGTCCTCAGAGAAAGAGGAAGCTGTGTCACCACCCGGGCCTCCTCAGGCCTCAGCAGCTTCCCCTTTCCCAGAACTGAAGCTCATGGGGTCACCCGGCCCCAGCCTGGGGCCCCATCTCCGCGCATTCCCTCTCCAGCCTCACCCGCCTCCGCGGTGGCCTCCTCCGAGGGTCTCCCGCAGCTCCATGCTCACCCCACCCCTCGCCTGCCCCCTGGCCTCCTCCCTGGCCTCCACTTCAGCCCCCCGCAGCTTAGGCGTCTCAACACCCAGATCTGACCCCTGTCCCTCCCTGCAACTCCAGCCACTGAGAGCTGCTTTCTGTCCCCCACACTTGCCTCTCTCACCTGGCACTGGTACCTGCTGTTTCCTCTGCCCAGAAACCCCTCCCATCACCCTACTGACAGCTACCCTTCCTTCAGAGCTCAGCTCAAAGTCACTTCCTCCTGGCCCCCAACCACCACCTCACTTGTGCAGTCCTCGCCCTGGGTGTGACCAGGCTACGCACCCACCCCTTCCCCGCTGACGTGCTGCCCCCGTACCGGGTGCCCAGCACGTGAATAGGTATGTGCTGAACCAGGGGGATCAGAAAAGGCACTCAGGAGAGGGTCCACCTTCTCCCAAGGTCAAGAGGGCCAGGGAGCAGGCTGACGATTAAGAAGCCTAGAGGCTGGGCTCGGGGTGGGGGACTGAACCCGGATCTGAAGCCCTTGCCTGACTTGAGGAGAACCAGCCTTCCTTGCTCTGCTCTTCACTGGCTCGGTGGCTGTGGACCCCACCCCCATTCCCCATCCCTCAGAGGGCTGTTGTGAGGCCGAGAGAACGCACATCAAATGCTCAGCACAGAGCCCGACACAGAGTAGGCCCTCAGTAAGCATTCACCGTGCCTCAGGTTCCCCACGTGTAAATCGTGGAGGGGGTTATGGCACATATTCGATGGGAGGTACGAGGTACAAACAAGATTCTCTTATATTTACGTACAATGCTTGGCGCAGAGCCTGGTACACGAGAGGTGCCCGAAGATACACACTGACAATCTGGGGGATTGGGAGGGTGTAGGAAGGGAGAGGAAAGGTTGGTGGGCAGATCCCAGGTCACACCAAGCTTAGGCCGCAAGCTGAGAAGGCTGCATTTCCCCCAGGGCCTTGAAGGGTTAGCGGGGGAGGGAGAGGTGTGGAACAACTTGCATCTCAGAGGGCTTGCCGGGCTGCCTGCCAAGTGAGGCAGGGCTGGGGAGATGGAGGTGGGAAGCAGGTAGCCACCTGGAGCAGGGGGTGCGGGGCAGGTATTTCTGTTTCCCAGCCAGTGGCTTGACGGCCTGGGGACCTCCCTGCAGCCTCCAGGGGCTAAGGTTGCCTGGAAACACAGCTGGACACAGGCCTTTCTCGGCAGTGGCTGCACCCTAGGCAGGAAGACAAAGGCCGCCCATCAATAGAGAAATCCAGGTTAGCAAGGAAGCCAGTGGTTCCTTGGCAACTGGGGCTGAAGTAGGGCAGTGCCCACAGTGGGGGGTAGTGAGGACAGCTAGGCATTGCCTCCCTTTCATCCTCTCCCCTCACAGGGAAGGGAACAGACTCCCATCGCCTCGGGCCAGGCCCTCATCCTGGGTTGCCTCCACTCCTCACAGGAGAGGTGAGCGTCCCTGCTTCACCCCTGGGTAACTGAGGTCACCCAGCCAGGGGGAGGTAAAGCAGGGGTGGAGCCCAGGCCTACCTGACAGCTTCCCACCTCACTCTGGCCCCTCCTACCCAGGAGCCTGGCCCAGGGCCTGGCGCAAAACAGATGTTCTGAGCGTTTGCCAACCTGACGGCACAGACTAGGGAGCTGGCGGCACACAGGAGGCGGCTCACCTGAAAGACTATTACAAAGCGCGCGGGCAGGCGCCAGGGAAGGAGGTACTGCCGCCATGGGGGTCTCTGGGGCCTCTGAGGTTTCCTGCATGCATAGTGCCCTAGTCTACCACAGCTCCAGTAGGAAAAGGCACTGGGACCTGTGAGAAGCAGGAAGCCCAGGAAAGGAGGGGGAAGAGGAAGATCCCAGGGTAGAGCCCAGCTCCCTAGGACTAATGAGGGGCTGGGAGCCCAGAGATGTGCAGAGGCTGCCTCAGGGCCACTCAGTGAGAAGGGCTCCCCCATTCCCACCCCCAGCCCAGCCTCAGGCAGCCAAGATCTCCCAGGTCACAACCCTGGGGTGAGGACTCCAGGCACACCAAGCAGCAGCTGCTCCCTGGCCCCCCACCAGGCCTGGGCTTAGAAGGCTCAGGGGTGTGAGGTGGGGCCGAGTGGGCTAATTGGCCCTTGAGGCTAAGAAAAGGGCTGAGGCAGCCAGACAGGGCCCACTCAGCCCCTCCCAGTCTGGGTGCAGATGCAACCCCTGCCCCCTCCCTGGCCTAAGCCTGGGGCTGGGAGGTGTGGCAGGGGCCCAAACTAGACAGTCGTCTCCGAGGCAGAGCTGGGGGTCCCCAACACCCCTCACTAAGAACGTACTACATGCCCATTCCCTTACCAGGCCTCAAAGACAGGGTTCCAGGCTTCACAAATGAGGAAACTGAGACTCAGAGTAGTACCCTGTAACCACTTAGTCTGAAAGGAGACAAGGTTTCCCATGTGGAGTGGGGACAGGCAGCTGGCAGCCCCTGCTCTTGCCACCCCAGACCTGGCATTCCCGCTGCTCCCACATGCCCTGCTCCAGCCCACACCCAAGCACTCAGAACCAGAGCTTTCCTGCAGGGAGGCCGCGCCAGTGCCCAGGACAGGACGGCAAAGCACTAGGAGGGCTGGAGGACACCCCACTGCCCACCAGCTGTCGCCACTGCTACCTTCTCCTCCGAGAAGCCACTTTGCCTCCTGCCCCGGCCGCGAATCTGTACCGATCACTACTGTGCCAGGGCGCCCAGAGTTGCTCAGCCCCGACCAGGCTGACCTGGGGAGGCTTTGAGAGAGACTGAGGGGAGATCACAGGCCCAGCCTGCCCCGTCCTCCGACTCCTCCTCCAGACTCCAGGTGCTGGGGGAAAGAGATTCCCCTGACCCCAGCAATTCCAGGTCAGGCCCTAATGAACAGAGCCTGAGGGGAAGCCTGGACCCGGAGCAGTCACACCTGGGTTCAAGCTCTAGCTCATCACTTCGGAGCTCTGTGACCTTGGGCAAGTTACTTACCCACCCTGAGCTTCAGGGTCCACCCCTGCGAACAGGGGTTCTGGTCCCTGTCTCCAGGGATGCTGAGGGGATAAATGGAGCCCACTGTAAGTAATACTGGTCAGCGCCTGGCCTGACCAGGCCTCTCCTGAGCACCAGTCCTCAACAGCCCACAAGGGCCAGAGGAGGAGCCAAGCTCAGAACCAAGCAGCATCCAACGAAGGTCACCCAGTGGCTCAGGAGCAGGCAAGAGTGCTTGGGGAACCCAACATCAGTCCCAGCAGCAGGGGTGGATGAGTCTTGGACTCGCCAGGTGGACCCTGGGTGCCCATTTCCCAGCCCTTACACAGGCCTGTGTCCACCTGCTCCCACGCCAACTGAAACCACAGTCAGGAAGGCGAGGGGTGCTGAGCAGTCAGGACCCAGCCCTACATCCCCGAACTTGTTTCCGCCTCTGTGATTTGGGACAACTGTGCCTGTCCAGCTGACCTCTTGGCATGGCTGGAGGTTCCATGGTTCATCAGGGAACAGCGACTCTTCTTACAATCAGGCCTCAGCCCAGGTGCCACCTCCTGCAGGAAGCCTTCCCAGCCTCCCTGTCAGGGTGGACCCGCCCCTCTCCTGGCCCCTTCAGCCATCATTGTTCGAGGTCCCCTTCAGGGAGGGAGGCAAGCAAGTGCACGCAGGAGGTGGGGCACAGCTCCATCCCTGTGCTCACTGCTCCTTCTTACCGTGAGGGTGTACAGGTCCAAGTTAGGCCCCTCCTTCTGGAAGCCCTCCTTCCTTCTCCCTCCAACCACACACTCAGACCCTGCCTCTAATTGGCTGCAGAGGCCCCTCCATCCCTCTCCTGTGTCAAGTAGCCAGGGCACACGCTCACAGCCACATGGGCAGTTTATTTATAGAGCACTCATCTTTCCCAGGGTGGCCTCGGAAAAAGCTCTGGCCTTCCAGGCAAACATACCTGGGTTAGGATCCCAGTGACGCTGGAGTCCTGCAAGTCCCTTCCCGTCTCTGGGCCCTCTTCTCAATGCCTGTACCTGGACGGGGCTGCTGATGACCTGGGCATGAGGCTGCGGATGAGAGCAGCCTGTGGTCCTACCCAGGGCTGAACACACAGCAGGGATGCAGCATCGGCACCTCAGTCTTCCCTGCCACCCCAACTGGGTGCTAAGGTCTGCCAGAGGTCATGTCCCAATCCTGAGTTGGGGTTGGGCGGGGGCGGGGGGGGGCCTGCTGGCTGATCTCAGGCAAAATGCCTCCCCCTCTGGTCCAGCCCTCCTGCCTAACCTGGCAGAAGGGCTGGCCCTATAACGGAGGGAGTGGGCCTGAGCAGCCCTACCACCACTTCCTCCTCCCCCTGCAGGTAGCCAGCCTGGTCCTTCTTTGAAAACTGACACCAGAGTTGTCAGACAACCCTCGCCTCCCACCTGGCGCCTGTGGGAGATGGGGCTGGGGGCTGGGCACGAGCTTGAGTGCCAGACTCCAGCACCAGTGACTGTGTGACTCAGACTAGGACTGGACCCTTCTGCCCTCTGAGTCTGGGCTCCCCACTGAGCAGCTTTGGAAGGAAAGGGATGCCCTGCCAGTGCTGCTGCATGGAGCCCTGCACCCAGGACCTAACACACATTAGGGCCTCAGGGGGGAGCGTCCTCTGCTGGCCCAGAATGAGAGCCTTGCCTGAGGAGTCCAGGGCAAGCACCAAACTGGCCCCTACGCACAGGAGTGGCCTTGAGTTTTCGCCGCTAACCCCCAGCACACACTCGGGAGCACTGGAGACCCCTGGGTACCAACCTCCCTGTGCATCCTAACACACAGTAGGCCCTCAGCCTACGATGGCTGCCCTTCCTCAGGAAGAGGCCTGGCCAACACAGATATGGCAGCGGGAGAGGAGAGGCTGTTGGCCAGGCCGGCCCCACCCAACTGGGCATGTGGTGCCCATGAGGACCCCACCCCTGTGCCTATTCCCAGAGGTGAGGGGGGACATGTGGCACATGGACCACACAATGAAGAAGGACTAACGTTGGGCTGGGAGGGCTTCCTGGGGGAGGCAGCGGGGCTGGGGCTGTACCCTGAATGGTCAGGAGGGTTCTAGAAAGGGGAGACAGCAAATGCAAAGGCAGAGTACAACCAAGGCATCTGGTAGGGAAGGAAGAGGGTGAAAATGTAAAGTTCAAAAGGGTCCTCCTGGAAGGAAAACCTCGATGCTAGGATGAGGAGTCTGGACTATATTTTGCAGGCAAACAGTACAAGTTACCTTAGGGAGGCCACTCTGGCACCGTGTGTGAGAGAACTGGAAACGGAGGCAGAGAGGCCAATACAGGAGTTTGGGCAAGGACAGCAAGGCCCAAGCTGGAACATAAGAGACGCCCTGATTTTGCAAAGGCATGTCTCAGGCCTGCTTCCAGTCCTGGGCCACGTCCAGTCTTCTGGGGGACGTGTGGCAGGACAGAAGGTAGGTTCCCTGTCTGGAGGGTGAGAGCCAGAATATCAGGGTTGTGCGGGGCCTTGGTAAGTCCCAGCACTTCTCAGAACCTCGTCTCTCCCTCTGTAAAATGAGGCTGACCCTATGAGCAGGGGAAGGGGGCTGAAAGCTTCCCCTCCTTGACCAGAAATGGGCACCTGCCTCCAGCAACTGTCACATGAGTCCCAACTGGGGCCACACTGGAAACCCAGCCGGGCCCCACCACCATCCCTGTGGTCCAGGCAGCACAAGTTCCCAAAAAGGTTTGGCTTGGGCAGGGCACAGGGTGGGGCTGGGACCAGAAGAGGAGGTTAACCCTTGGTTAACCCTTCCCCTCTCCCTCCCCTTCCAGGGCCCTGAGCTATTTCCACCTCTTTGCTGGGGATGGAAATAACTCAGGCTCAGCCCCAGGAGACCAAGACAGCTATTCTGATCAGCCCCAAGAAGCACAACTCTAGTCATTCCAGAGAGGACAGAGGGACACCCAGATCCCCAGCTCCAGCTCTCAGCAAAGCAGCAGCAGTGGGCAGAGCTAGCAGGGGCCTCAGGGAAGAATGGGGACACTGAGGCCCTGAGCGGGTAGGCACAAGCTCAAGGTCACTACTAGCCTGTCCCTCAACCCCCGCAGTGTGTGGGTGGACTGGGGAAAGTGCCCCTAGAACAACTCTGAGCGGGGGCACAGGGCCTCTCAGGTATGGTGAAGGTCAAGTGGGACTCTCAATTCTCCTGCCACTCTTGGAGCCTGGGCTATGCTGCTGACTCCCAACATTCTTCAGAGCCACACGGACGCTCCCCAAACCAGTTACAGGCTCTAGAAGGCAGGAGACAGGACTTTCTGGTGACCTCTGGCTAGGAGGTGAGAGTTAGGGGGAGGGAGGAGGAACAGGAAGACCATAAAACCCAGCCACCCCTGATGTTCTAGACACGTGCACACCACACTCAGAACTCACAGTGGCACACCCTGCCGAGGCCATGTTGCCAGCCTGCGTTTGAGAGAAGGAAGCCCAGAGAAGCCATGAGCAGATATTAGGAAGGGGAGTGGCCCTCTCCAAGCATCTTACAGGGCTTCAGGCACAGGAGACCTGCATTCCAGTCCTGGCACTGTCCTGACTCTGTGTGACCTTGGGCAAGTCACTTCGCTTCTCTGAGGTTCTGTTTCCTTCTCTGAAAAACAGTCATCACATCTCAGAGCCACTGTGAGGATTCAACGAGAGCACACCATAAAGCATTCAGCATAGCACCTGGCACTGTCTCCCCAAACTATCTCCCCGACCCAGAATGCAATCAACATTTTCAGAGGATGACAGCAGAGGAGAGAACGTGCAGATCCTTCAGCAGGTGTCTCCTCACCTCTACTGGGCTAGGGAGCCTGATTTCCATTCCACTTTGCATGAACCCAACAGACCCTCTTGTGTGGGTGGGGGCCTCAGGAGGGTCTAGCCTAGATGGTGAAGAGGCCCTGCTCCAGCTCTCCAAAGCAGAGACGACTCATGCCCCCCAGGAACATGCCCCCTCTCCCCCCAAGAAGGGAACTGAAGAAAGGAGATGGGCACCAGAGAAGTCAATGTCTATGGGTTAGAATTTTCGGCGTGATCTGAGGAGCTGTGCTTCCAACCCCGTCACCAGCACCTGGGCGCAGCCCTGGGCCACTCTGTCCCCAGCAGACAGCCTGCTCCCACCCCCTACTGCAGTCTTTCTGCCTGAAGGGAGGTAGGGGAGAACAGAGACAGTTGACAGTTGACCCCAAAACAATAGAGGATCCCGAAGCGATGATTCACAGTCCATTCACAGCCCAACACCTCAGTGTGCAGACAGGGAAACTGAGGCCCAGCAAGGGTGAGTGGGATCTGAGGGCAAGATTATGCCTGGGCCCAGTGAGAACACAGGTTACCAGGGACAGAGCTTAGCCAGGCCTCTTGGACCTTGCGTGTGTGTGAGTGTGTGTGTGTGTGTGTGTGTGTGTGTCTGTGTCTGTGTGTGTGTGACAGAGACAGAAAGATGGAGCCTGAGGCTACCTCAGAGGCCCTCAGCTGCTGCCAGACCTATCACCCCACCAGATGCCCCTCAGCCTTGGCCCCTCTGCCTCTGCCAGGGCAAGTCACTCAGGGTCCACCCCCCTCACTAAACTGAGCTCCTGAGGGACGCCCTCTTGGGGACAGTCCTGGAGAGACCCTTGTCCCCTCCCTGGCCCCTCTCCCTCCAGCCCCCATCTGCTAGTAGGTGTTTGAGGTCCCTCCTCTTTCCGCCTTTTACTCATGTCCCTGAGGTGCAGACGCGGACACGGGCGGACGCGGACACGGACACACACACACACACACACACACTGCACTACTTCACCCCACAGCACACTATGACCCCAGTGCTTCAGGGGCTGGTTCTCATAGTCACTTGGGGTTCCTCCCCCTCTATACCATGTTCACTCACGTTCATGAGGGCCCTGGTGTCCTGGTCACACCCCAGGCCACACACACACTCAGTGACCCCAGTAACCCGGGGTCGCACTCACAGTGGGCTGGGGTCACGGTCACCCGTAGTGACCGGGGTGTCTCTCTCACACAGTCACACGCACACTGCCTGTCACAGACACACAGAGCCCCTCGGTGTCTCCCCCTCGGCCCAACGTCACCGCCCAGTGTCCGGGCCACACGTTCGCCCTGGCTGGGCCGCCTCACGCGCCGTGTCACCCACAGTCACGGGCTGACACCGTTCAGAACCCCCCCTCCGGCCGCCCCGCGCCGCAGCCACACTGAGGAGCCGCCGTCCCGCCCCGCACCCCGTCCTGGTCTCAGTCCAAGTACCCCAGGCCGGGGCGTCTCCGAGGCCCGCCGGCTCCTCAAACTGCAAGTTCCGCCGCCGCCTCCCCATCACGCACGGTCGGGCCAGGAGCCGCGGCCGGAGGACACACAGGTCCCCGAGCAGGGAGCTCAGAGACGGGCGGGGGTCCGTGCGCGGAAGGCGCCGGGACAGGACGCGGAGGCGGGGGGCCGCGGGGCCTGGGCTGCTGCATCCGCCGCGCCGGCGAACTTCCTCAGAGACGCTGGGAGGCAGGGGGCGCCGCTCGGGCCCGCATCCCTCTGGCCCCGGCCTCCGGGCTGGGGCTCCGCGCGTCCTCCTTACCTGGCCGCCCCGCAGCAGCTCCAGCAGCCCAGCTCCCAGGCCGACGCGGTGCCCGAGCCCGGCTCGGCGTGCGCACGGGCGGCCACGCAGCCTGCGCGCCTTTTGAATGAATCGCCGCCCGGTCCGGGAAGGCGCGCAGCCCCGCCCCCGCGCGTCACGGCCGCCGGCCCCGCCTCCGACGTCAGAGCCCAGGTTCGCGACCCCCGCCCCCTGGAGACCGCCATGGGGCTCGCGCTCTGCAGCCCGGCCGTGCTGTTTTGTGTCGCCATCTCTCGCGCTCCCCGGGAACTGCAGGGGGCTGCGCCGGACAAGGCCTCTCGGATCAGCCGCTTCTGGGCTCCAAACCAATAAAGAAGGGGTTGCAAGATGCAAGATAGACTGGAGACTTGGATGCTTTTCTGAGACCTGTCACCATTGCCAGTGCAAACGGGGCCACCGCTGTCCCTCCCTGGGTCTCGTTTTCCTCCTGGAAATTGGCAGTCAGGGACAACGACCTCACTTTGCCTTGTTGAAGAGGCCCAGGTCCACCCCCAGAAACCCCACCTAGTTGTTGAGAAAGGCCTGGTGAAAGTGAATCTATAATGGAGGCCCACTTGGTGGTCTCCTGCCCATTCTTCAGGGCCCAGCCCAAACCTCCTTCCTCCAGGAGACCTTTCCTGTCTCCATTCCCCGCCCCTTCCCTCTCTGCAAGGATAGTTAGTCCCTCCTTCCAGCAGGACAGATGATACACTGCTGTCCCTTCCCTACCACCAGCTGTCCCACCCTGCTGATTCCCACTGCCAGCCATCAGGGTGCCCAGCAGGGGGTGACTAAGGACCCCAGGGCACTATTCATATTGTATTACCAGCTCTGTGAATCGTGCCCCTTGGAGTTGTGCCATATGGTGGGCCAGAACTGGAGGCAGCAGCTCAAGAGCCAGGGTTTCCCCAACTCAGTACCATTCAGGGGATCCCAGGTGGCCCTCCCAGGACAGCAGGGCTGGGAGGAGATGCAGACAGTAGGGAGGGCCTTGTGCTGGGGAGGCAGAGGCCTGGCTGGGATCAAGATAATCACAGCTCATGGCAGAGGTGGAGGAAGGTAAATAAGTTGTTAGGGATACATTGTGAGGGGAGGTGGAGAATTCTAAATAAACTGTCATAGCATCTGAGCCATGGGGTGAGGGGGTGGGAAAGGTAAGGTCTCCAGGGTCCAGGAGATCCCAGGAGGAGAACTGGACACCTGCAGAGGGAGGGGGAAAAGGGAAGAGTTTCCATTTCCTTGGGCCAGGCCCAGGTTGTGAGGGAAGGGCAGAAAGAGCTCCAGGTCACTGATGTTGGGATCATAGCACCAGCCAGGCCCCTTGTATGTCAACGGACACCCCCAGAGCTCGGTCAGGGGTGATCCCACATCCGAGCCCACAGAAGGAGTCCAGAGGAGATCCATGCTGGGAACCTGCTGAGGGGGCTAGAGCAGCCCAGGACGCCCTCTATCCCTGCAAATGTTTTCTTTGTAAGGGGACCTTCTATGCCCCAGTTCCAAGTACGGGAGTTCAAATGGTGGCATTTCACAGGCACCCAGTAGGCCAAATGGGGATATGCTTTTTGGTCAAGGAGCACACTGGCTATTAATCAGACATCCTATAGAGGGTCCAGGCCTGTCTCTACTACCAGCTCTCAAATCCTTCCCCAACTCAGTTTCCCCATCTGAAAATTAGGCTGCCAAACTCATTGCCTGGAGGTCATTCCAGTTCTCTGTGGGAGGAGGCGATCTGCCTGACGTGGCTGAGTGGGAAGGGTGAGCAGCCACCAGAGACAGAAGAAATGACCAGGGATGGAGGGGCCAAGGCAGTCCCTCCTGTCCTCTGAACCACAGCAAGCTGCAGCTGGGACCCTGCCCAAGAGTCTGGGAACATTTAGCCGCTACAGTGAGGAGACAGGGAAGGAGTTGTGGAGGCCGCGAGAGAGATTTAGATCGGCTTTTTATGGAGGTTGGAGAACCACAGGCTCGAGAACAAAGGACTCTCAGAATCACAGGCTTTTAAAACTCCTGGCATCTCAGATGGATCCACGGAATCTTAGCATTACAAGCGCTGAGCCCAAGGACCTCAGAGACGATCTCGTTGAACCTCTAATAGTGCAGCCAGAAAAGTGAGCCCAGAGAAGGCTCACACCTCATCCTAGGTGGCACAGCACAATAAGCTGGGATGAGCTGTGGTGATCCAGAGGCAGGGACATGGACTCCATGTCCCACTGAGACTCTCCCTGAGGTGGGGTGGGGATCCTGGGCCACAGGATTAGAGGAAGGGGGGTGTTTGCAGGGGATCTGAGCAGATGGCAGCCCCTGGAGTTATGGACCAGAAATGGTGGTACCCTCTGCTGGCTACCCTTAAATTCCAACGTGGACGTCCAAAGCAAGAGGAAATGTCCCAGCTCAGATTTAAATTTCAAAACTCTGCACTTGGCTAACCCCCCAACTGGCCAAGTTCTACCTCAGAAGGTGGGCTGTCCTCCTGTGTTTGTGCCTTAGCTCCAGGGGGAGGGTGGGCTTGGTTTAAGGAAAAAATGGGGTTGGGAGGCCAGGGTGGGGCTCAGCTTGGGGCAGGAGCTGAGCTGGGGCTGCTAGGCCTGAGAGCTGGGTTCTGTCCACCATTTAGGTCCAGATCCTGGCTTGGGTTTGGAATCCCACTGGGGTTGGGCTTTGGTGTCACACAGTTAGGGGTCAAGTCCTAGTTCTGCCATTGTCAGGTTGTATGGCCTTAAACTAGTGACCTCACCTCTCTGAGTGCAAGCTCACCTGCCCAGGGTGTTGTGAGGATCTGCTGAGACTCCATTTGGGGGATACCAGCTTATTCTAGGCTGCTGGGCTCAGAACCCCCATCTGCTCCCTCTGGTCCCCCACCCTCAGTGTTTGCCCTGTGTCTCTCCACAGCCCAGCATCTGGGCTCTGCCCCCATTTCTCCCTGAGGCCTGCACATTGCCCCCTCCCCGTTCAGACCTGCATCCTGCCCCTGACCCAGCCCCTTCACTTGCCTTTGCCAGGCAGGGCTCCTCATTGGCCATAATGGGCCCAAAATAGCACTTCCCCTTGCCGCTTCCTGCAACCTGGCCTGTGGCTTAAGGTCTGTGAGGACAGAAGAGAGACTTGGCGTTTGGCAGGCATGCAAAAGATGTGAAGAGCTCTCAGAGGTCACCTGGGTAAACTTTCTTCCTTTTCTGACCACAGGAAATCTTCCTGCCTGGTTCTCCTGTACACCCACCCCAGCCTCAATGCTGCCTTGCTGTGTGATGTTAGGTAAGTCTCTATCCCTTTCTGTGCCTCATCTTCCTTGTGAGGTAGATGTCTACCTAAACCCTGCTGCTTGTCCCTAGCCCAAGGAAACACCTGGAGAAACCCCTTGGAGAGATGGCTTTTGGCCCTGACTCTCTCTTCTGAAGTCAGGACATCCTTCCCAAGGCTGGTCTGAGGAACATGCGTCAGATACCTCAAGAGTGACTGGATGTGTCTCTAGCTGCTCAGACTCTGTGTCCTGTCCTCCAGCCACCCCATGTGGCTGCCCTTCCTCTCTTCCATGAGGCACAGAGACCTGAGCAGACAGATCACGTGTGAATCCAGGCTCTACTGCTTAGTAGGCAGGTGACCTTGAGGAAGGCTTTTAATCTCTCTGTACCTCAGTTTCCTCACCTGAAAAAGATGATAATAATGGTATCAACCTCCCAGGACCACTGAGGATTAAACCGGATGATTCATGCTCCTGGCTTGCAGCAAACAATAAATGGCAGCTGGGGCTATTCTGTGACATTCAAGACCTAGAAGGGGATCCCAACTGAATTCTCTAGATTTAATTAAACAGATACTTATTGAGCACCTGCTGTGTATCAGGCACTGCAGGTGGCCTGGGGATGGAGCAATGAACAAAACGTCCCTCCCCCCTCCTGGAGCTCACATTCTGGCTTCCCTGCCTTTTCCTCTTTCCCCTCTGCTCCAGCTGGGCCTACACCTCGGACTCCAGGCTCCCCCACCCCTCCTTGCCTTGATTCAAGCTGTTCCTTCCCTCTCACATCAAACCCAGCGGGATCTTAGTTCCCCATCAGGGACTGAACCCAGGCCCGCAGCTGTGAAAGCGCAGAGCCCTAACCACTGGACCGCTGGCAAAGTCCCTGGCCATGCCCTTTAAAGCCGTGGTTCTCCACCTCACTAGCAAAACTAAACCATGGTGTCAGAAGCCAGGGTGGTTGTTACCCTAGAAGGGGAGACTGGGAGGGGGCATGTGGGGAGCTCTTGCATGGTGGAACGTTCTCTTT